TTGCGACAATTAAATGTTTAATTATTAAGTAGCTGGAAGTTCATCTCAGATCATAATAAATCGAAGCTGAAATAACTTTTTAGATCTTCGATATTTTCACATAGGTATTTCGTACGAGCAGAGAATACGATAGAATACAATAAAATATTGTGGTGAAACTTTTGACAAAGTTACTTCGCTCATTTCACTCAAGAATAGACGAAGCTTCAAAAATTTTAAAGGCCGCTATCGAATGTGACACTAATGTATCAGGCCTCCAGTTATTCGACCCATTACAACATGATTTTCTATGGAGTTACCTATTATTTTGGTTTTTGCTTTCATCAGCTTCGAAAGCTTTATAGCGAAATTTCAGAAATATTGAATTACATATCTGAAAAAACAAATCTTAAAGATTGACAGCTGGACTTTGAAGCTAATTTTTGAGTTTGCGGAAACAATAAATATTTTAGGTGATCCAGACAATTAAAATACAATCGGTCGTTTGTTGTGGTCTTGAAATTCGAAAGTACTTTGTTTTGTTAAGAGGCTAGAAAGCGCAGGTTCCCATATGAATTTCAGGACAAAGTTTAACATACATACTATTATATTTTTTGTCTAAATAGCCATTTTAGCACTTGAATAATTATACAGATGCCACGCCATCGATACGAAATATAAAAAATGTTTACAGTGTGTTAGTAAAAGCATAAAATAATATGCTTGTATATTTGTGTAAATAGTGACTATTTATAACAAACTGTGTAATCAGTGAATAATTAACAAATATACGTAATAATTAATAAAATAATCATTACAGTGTAACAACATACAGTTGTGTTTTGTATAATTAAGTAAATAGAGGCAGAAACATAGGTCACAACTTTGTCAATTGTTGATTCTCCTAATGAACCAAAAAAAAACGTTTTCTAAAGCTTGCTTTTTAGGCTAAAAGTCACAACAACTTTTAATTAATCTTCACGCTTTACACTTGGATAATGAGGCGTACTTTTGCTCTGTATTAAGGTGTCAGTCGCTTATTTGTGGACTTTAAAATTTATCCAATAACGCGGCGAGTGCAAACTTAGTAAGCAATTAAAGTTTTTCCAGATTTTCAAACTGATTATCAATTAATGAAAATTTAAATGCTTAAATTTCTCTTTTTTGTTGGTTACTTGAACAGAAACTTAACAAGAGGATTTAATAAGGTTATAACTTTGAAACGTACAAACCTAAATAATGCATTTTAAAGTTTTGAGTTTTAAAAGATAAATGCAAAGAGACTGATAAAGAGAGCAGAATAGTATTTACCACAAATAGTAAAGTCGTGCAAGAGTTAAAACTATTTTATAACTTTAAAAGTAGTAATATTTTATAGTAGTTTTATCGTCTGTAGTGAATTTTAACTTCAAACTGTCAAAAATAAATTTCAGTTGACGCTCTACATAAAGCATGTACAATGGAGAGCATTAAATTTTGGCATCCTAAAGATAAGTATTTATTTAAAGACAGACGTTGTTTGAAATAATAAAATAATGAGATATATGCACTAATATCCATACTGAGTTTTGGTGAACTAAAACTTAATTAGAATTTTTTGTAATCCCATCAAGTTCAACTTCAGTTAACACGAAGTCTTGATAAATTTTTGTTGTAATTTATAAAGACCAATAGAAGTTGAGTTCGGTGTTTGTGGAGTATAAAGTATATGAAGGAGTTTGAAGTGTTTATGGTTTGCCGGAAAAGTTATGGTAACAATTTTTTGAGACTGGAGGGTTAATTGATTGCTTAGAACAGGCAACTTGACATTAATTCAGAAACTTTTTCTCGAACGAAACGAGTTAATTTCTAAAATTCGGGTCAAATTTGTCTTAGCTAATAGTGATTAGTCCGATTAGTGATGAGGATTTGGGTTAAAGTGCTATTTTTCAAACGCGCAGATGTCGAGAAATGGAGAGATACACTAATTGCTATGAAGTTTAATTTCCTTTGTATTTTAATTAATATTAATTTAACGTTTTGTCTCCTTCAAGGTATCTCAGAATTTACAAAAGCACTTTCTGAACGCTTTTAACTTCTCGACAAAAGAAAAATTATTGCAGAACCGAGGCTTTTGTGAAGTTTCAGTTAACGTTTCGGTAAATAATTCAGAATTAATTTTTAACAAGCTTCCATGTAATTTCACCGAGGAATGTTCACCTCATCTAATTAAATACTACATCAAAATACGCCTGAAGTGTTTATAGAATCCGCTACGTGGTTGTAAATAATACCCGAGAAAAAAGATACTTTTTGATCAAAATTTACTTGATTTTTAAAGGATCATAATTCACAACTTCGTCTCATTTATCATAACGAAATAATTTCTGTCTACATTTTTAATGTTTTTGGAAGTAATTTCATAATAAGACCGTTTTCTTTAGGGTTGTTTCCTGCTCGTAATTCTTCCAGGTATATTCTAAGTTCTGCGCCAATAAATTGATATAAAAGCAGAGCCGTCAGGGGATTCTTATAATTAAATTTAGTCGTTACGCAAATTAGGTACCGCGAGAAACACGAGTTTTTCACCTTGTAAAATATTCCACCTTTTTACGAAACGGAGGGGGGAGTTTGCTTCGAGGAGAAACATTATACACAAAATACTGAATACTTTTGAATATATTTATTTTATAAAACAGAGTGATTAAAATTGTATTATTTAAAGTACCTAAAAGTATATAAATATAAAGTAAAAAGTATATAAAGTGTAATAAAATATAAGTAACTAGGTGCGCGACTTATAAACAGTTGAGAAAATTAATTCTTCTATTCTCTGTTTCACAATGCCTTCAACTTCTACAACTATACAAAAAGAAAAACTAGAATAATAGTAATCACCATTTATTCCTCTCATTTATGTGCTTTCTCAGTTTATAATATTAAAATATGAAAATTCGATTTAATATCTGTTTCAGGTCGTTTTAAATTAGATGTCAAGAATATCAAAATTACGATAATCTCAATCGAATCATTGCATAGTTGCATTATTAAAAACGAACTACTTACTAATAATTTATAAGAATCCTTTTATTAGAGGAAATCACAAAATTTAAAAAATTATCTACAAATTCTTAGTTTTAAACTAGGAACAATTTCCTTAGTCATAATAATAATCTGAAATTCAAAAAATTATTTTGCTTATTTTGCACAGTACCTATACAGGGTTAGTCAAAAGTACTATACAGTGTGCGAAATCATCCAAAAAGCGTTTGCTTTTTGAGCATTTAAAAAATATTTGACTTAGTAATTTTTCCAATTTGAAAATAAAAAAAAGTGAAAATAAATCGCTATTACGTTAAATTTAATTAATTTTATTGACACTTTGGCGCAATTTATTATTCACTGCTGGTTACAATCAATCTTATTATAAAAAAAAAGTGCTAAAGTTTGTTTCAAAATATATTGTAAAAACTTCGATGCGCGAAAATGTATTCGGCGCATTCGCGTAAATGCAGCACTCGCTCCTGCCCCAAATAATGTGCTCATGCACTAAAACTGTCTTCTCACATAAACGATAATAATAAACTATTAATTTCAAAAAAATTGTTGACAGTCCGAAATATGATATCCACTATTTTTTTTTAAATAGGGCTTTGATACTTTAATAGTAAGAAAAAATTGTTCTCTTTTGTAGAATTAAATTACGAGCTAAACGTCTTTAATTTATAAAAAGTCATTAAATATGAACTAATGAGGTGTGTTGTGTCTCTTATTCCCTCTGTTGATAAAAATGACATTTTAATTACAAGTCTCCGCCCTCTCCACGCGACGATTATCAGGTGAACCGTTCTAAATAATTACGTTAAGTGTCAAAAGAAAAGTTAATGACAAGCAATTTTTTTCAATAAAACGCTTCGTTATTATAGAAAAACAAATCAATTACATGCCTTCTTAATCCCCTCTTCCTTGTACTTAATTATTTTAATTTCATGTCGTATTCTTGTATCTAACACATACCCATATCTCAGTCCCCTTTTATTGTCATGTCCTACTTTTTACAACCAGCATATCTTCCTGAGAAAACCAGAGATACTAACTAATTACCATTTAATACTTCCCGTCGTGATTACATTAACAATTTAGAATCACTCTTTGATGGTAATGGCAAAAATTCTCTAATGAGAATCAATAACTCATAATCGTTTGTAAAAGGTGTAAATTAAAAGATTTACAAAATGCAAGTATTGCTTGGAAACATTAAGTCTGAATTATTCATGAAGCATTCATCAATCCTATCTTCGCATCTATTACCTCTATTATCCTCTGAATCGAAGAAATATTTTTATTGACATAAAACATGCATCTCGAATGATATGATATTGACAAATCAAACATCAGTTTAGTCAGTTGGAAAACCGATTAAAATGACTAACTAGATTATTTCGAAAATGTTTATCGAATCAATCCTGAAGAGAAATTGTAAAATACGAAACGAATACGCCAATAAGTAAGGACTTATTAGTTTATGCAAAACTAGAAAGCCCTGCACTTGACATATCAAATTTGATTTGGCGTCAGAAACCGCCATAAAATTTACGGTAATCCCCCAAAAAGTGCTTTTTTCTGTAGCATCTGATAACATGAGGCAGCGTCAATTTGTGTTTTTCCGACTTATTGGAGAAATGTTTTTGTTCATTTTTGACATGTGATGTTGACATTCGGTAACTTGATTTTTTTTCAGGAGTCAATAACCGGGTGTGATTTTCGGTCTGGTGCAGCCGGGCCTATTACCCACGAAATTATTCCATTTCACAACAAAAGGTGTTTTCGGTCAGCTCCCTTTGATCTCACACACAGATCCAATTCCAAGCAAGCAATCCTCTTGTTGGTAATTAAAATCGATCTTTTTTTAATGGACAAAATCGTGAAAAATCCAAATCAACCCCTGGTATTTTCCAATTAACATTCGCGCTTTTAAATTAACAACACAATTAACATCAACAGTTGGAAGAATGCAGACAACTTGGCAACGATGCACTAACCTTTCTTATACAGATTGAAACGCGTCCGAGGAGGCGATGGTGCAAGTTCAAAACAAACGAAGTGCAACAACACAACTAGATCGAGATTTTTATTTGCAATCACCGGAATTCACAACAACAAATCGGTTTTCCCGAACGGAATAAAATTTATGCAACTTTACGATTTTTCCCAAAATGTTTAAATACACGGAAACACGATTTCAGGCCGGTAACACTGCACTACAACGCGTCCGAACTGGAGGCGCACACACGATTGGCGCCCGAACATGAAAGGTGGAATACTGCGGCAACGACAATGAACGACAAGAAGCGGATCTAAACGATTACACCGCCTTATGGGCTTAATTACGGACAAAAAAATTCATTTCGAATTATTTTAGCCCGAAAAAAAACACTTTAGAAACTAGAAACTAGGGAGTTTCTGGCAAAGTACGTGTTAAGGTGGCAATCCTTGATTTCTTGCCAATAAAGCCGATCAAGAAACCGGTGACCGACATGTCATATGTCAAGTGGTCATTACTCATTATTTTTAGTGTCTAGTGTTTCTGAAGATTCGTTTTTTATAGTTAGATATAAGAAAAATAAAACTGTAAAGTGATAAAAAGTGAATTTCAAACGGTAATTGAATAAAACCCAATTACAGCAGGAAAATCTACCACCTGTACATGTTGGATGTCAAAGCAAGAGATGCAAGGAACGATGGAATGGTGGAAATTTAAGTACAAATGCATGTTTCACCACTTTGTACTTGATTAACCCAATTCTGGTCGTTTGAGAGCGAATGTTTCCCCTTCATTACAAAAAAAGAGTTCCCAGTAGTTCTGTCGACCTACAATGAGATTTAAAAACTTCCAATTCTCATAATAATACAAGAGTTGTAAACACAAGAAAGAATCCGAAAGTAAACTCGAATAATCGTAGAATTCAAAATATTACGTAAACGGAACACAACACAAAAGTGAAATAAAAAATTCTATCACAATGTAAATTGAAACAATTAAGGGGTCTCTAAAGATGGTAGCCTTGAAGATTAATTTACATACAGGCTGTCCCAGCGAGTTGAAAAAGTCCATTAGTGACCTTTAAATAGTAAAATTAAAAAAAAAAAGTATATAAGACATTGAGTCGATCGCCTAAAATTATTTTCAACTATACAGCATGTCTCAAAAATAAATTACAATACAAACTTGTTTTTTTTTTAATGAAACACCATATGTGCACATGCACTTTTTAAAAATTTATTACACAAAAACTAAGACATCTAGAAATATTTTTTTATTACCGTAACGAAGAAGGTACAAACTACATATAAGGTTGTAACATTTTTTAGTGTGTTGCATTTGCAAAGATAAAAAAATTAAATCGTTTGTTAAAAGTTCAATAACTTAAAAAGATTTAATGGAACACCTTTTTTAGGGTATTTGCATTTAAAATATTATTAAGTTGTTTTTATAAAATTATTTACTTTTAGGTGTTTATAATCAATAACTAAAAAGATATTTAACGTTAAACATAAAAAAAATAATTAGTAATTACTATTGTTTCAGTAACCAAAAAGTGCACAGTTGCACAAGAGATGGAAGAAATATCACTTAATAATCACCTTTGTGTTAAACTGACTATTATTTTTTTATTTTTAAAATAAAATAATTCGAATTTCAGTATTTATAACGACCTTTACAATCTCTGGTTAAATCAACGGATAAGTGATCAGTGGTGAAATTTCTATGGTTGCCATAGTATCATCAACAATGTCCAGATATTGATAGGCATTGTTGCTACAATTAATATTGAATGTTAAATATCTTTCATTTATCAATTTTAGACATTAAAAGTTTATTTTTTAGACAGATAATTTGTCAATCTATTAAATACAAAAATAAAAATAGGCTGTTCCATTTAAATTTTTTAAGTTATTTAAATTTTAACAATCTTCTTAATTTATTAATTTTTACAAATGCAAAACACCAAATTGCTACAGCTTTAAATCTTGTACATTCTTTTTTGCAGAAGTGAGAAAAAATTTGTTCTAGCTGTCTTAGTTTTTGTGCAATAAGTTTTTAAAAAGTGCATGTTTTCGTCAAAAAATAGTTATTTATTCGACGAGTGTGAGTGTAAATCGGACGATTTATTTGACCGAGTGAATTTTTAAACCACAAGTGTAACGAGTGGTTTACCATTCACGAGGTGGAATAAAGCGTCAGATTTACACTCAAACGAGTTGAATACAACATTTCGAATTAGACTCAACAAGGCTTAAACGTGCTTTAAATCTGTTAAAAATAATTTGACGTTTCGTATTGAGAAATGCCAAACAGTTGTCAAAACTTTCTTACACGGAAGAAAAACCATAAATTTTGACAGTGTCGAAGAATAAAAACATTTTATTTCCCAAAACTAAACGAAATCGACTAATAAAAGTTTAGCTTAGAAACACTGTTTTAAAAGGCTATATCCAAAAAATTTTAAAAACCACAAATTTGTATCGTAACTTATTTTTGGGACATGCTGTATGGTTGAAAATAATTATAGGTGATGCACTAGATTAGTATCTATCAATGTCCTATACATTGTTTTTAATTTTACCATTTAATGGTCATTAATGGACTTTCTCAACTCGATGGGACAGCCTGTATGTAGATAGGTAGTTCAACCACACCACTTAAATGTCATGTTTGAGTGAATTTGTCAATTTGACATTGACACTAACATTATTGTCGTCGTTGAAAATCTTTTTATTATAATTTGCAAGTATTTTTCGTTTATTGATTGATTTATTGCTTTTGTTCTGCGTCTCATTAGTTTCTTTTAATAATTCCTTACGATGAAGTAACTTTCATGAAATCAGCCATTAATGCACTCGTGTTAACGTAAAAAATGAAATAATGAGGGGTCACTGATCAAAATTAGCCCCCCATCATCCTTTATTTATTCTGGGGCCAATCTTATAAAAAACCATTTAGTAGTACTTTTCATTGGGATAAGATACAACGAAGATGTCGGAACCTTGATACTGATTTGTGATTACTTACCACAAAACCGTTAAAAAAAGTGATGACAGAAATCGTATAATGGCACTACTTGAAATAGCAAAAAATACAAAAACCTGATCTAAATTTAATTATAACTGTCAAAAAAGGCACACATGGTGTAATTTTTTGAAAAATTATGGGCGACTCAAATAAGATTACTTAATAACAAAAGCTATTTTTCAACAATAGAAGTATTTATTAAATTAATGAACTCATGAAGAGGCTTATAAAATTTATGATAATAACCTGATTAGTTATTACTAAATTGGTGTTTATGTGGTTGTATGGCGTTCAAATGAGACATGGATGATGTTTACAAAAATATGTATTTACGCAAAGAAAGTCAAGGTTGATATAAATTACGAATCCGTTACGAATACATTGGAAGACAAGTGTGAGACACGAGAACGCAGTCAAAATTGTAGAAATGTTTTTCCTTAATAATACACCAATGCGACAGTTAATTAAAATAGTTAGACAACTAGTAGCGGTATGTTGATTATATTCTAACTATTGTTAGATTTAAATACACCCTTGACAGCCGTTATTAATTTCCCACACTCGATTATTATAACTGCCAGCAATCAGTAGCAACAGCAACATTTAAGGAAACTAAATTATTCAATAACTCTCCCTCTTATCGACAAAGCGCAGCATAAAGAAAAGGAATCTCGTTATTAATATTTTCAGTTATTAATAATCTATTATCCAATCTTTTTGCTGTCCACTTATTTCGTTAGAATTTATTTTTCTCATGTCTGTTTGTGTACGAAAATAAAAAGGTAGTGAAACAAAGTTTGATCGTGACTTTTTCATTATCTTTAGTTTCGTAAAAAGTCTATTGCTTTTCCATGGAATGTATTTTACTATCAACTTTCGTAAGTGCCAAAGCAAACGAGTTTAGTGAACTTATTTACTTTACACTTACGACGACAAAGAAATAAATATCATAAGTAAAAGAAACATTTGTGTTGTTTAATTAGTACGGAGTTATGACAATTAGGTCACTGCAGGATCCTACTGTTTGATTAATTAAAAGACATTTTGCGTAATTACAACTTCAATACAACGAAGTAACAACACTGTACTGTAAGAATTTTTACCCATCTATCACACTCAAGCACAAAATTTTCTCATTAATCATTTATGAACTAAGTACCTGCTATCAAATGATAACTGCCAACATTCAACATAAATTATATGCAAACTGCACACTGCTCGTAAAGTGTTCAAATTTATTTACCTAATAACTTTGCAGCTATTCACCAATGATTTAAATCTATACTTCCCGTCTAGTTTTCCAATTAACAAATTCTGAAACCTGCTGCATACGTTGTTATTAATTGATAAGTAAAGTTCAAATTAAAAACGTTAATGAAATGTACAGGGAAATAGAATCTTAAAATAAAAGAATCGCAACAGCGAAATCTGAAAAGTTAAAATATACACTTACGGAAAATCAATACATTAAAATATCAAAGAAAGAAAACAGATGCTTTGCTTACACAATAACAAGAACAATACAATACAATACACTGCAGGAAACTAGACCACTTGAGCACAAGTGAATTTTCTATACGAAACCAAACCAAATCTTCGAAACTCCTATTGACATAATTTGCTTCAATTCTATACCGAAGGACATTTTAACATGAGTGATTTTGATAAAAATCATAATATAATAATTTTTCACTAAAAGAAATGACCCGGCAATATGTAGCTACTTGTTAGCTAATTGCAGAGTGTTGTTCATATCTCAAAACTGACGTGGATTTTTAAAGAAGACTATTGTTGTGTTTAAAGACGTTTCAAGTTATTTTAAGATAATTTTAATTGCACAGCTTTGTTTTAGAACATTTGGAGCACATAAATACATAGTTGTTTAATGTAGTCAGGTTTACAACAGTGAAGTTGAAAGGAACTTAATATAAAACTGATGCATCTTTTGTATAAATAAAATTAGTGTTTTTTGGTAGAGAAGAATTAGGACGAGAAATAAATACCGTGTATTATTACTCCTAAGTATACAGCGACGTAGCTAGAATTAAAAATGAAAAAATGTGAAATAGAAACTCACCTATTTCCATGAACATTATTAAACTGATTGATAATCTTATTTCTATCTAAAATTCTTACGATGTTAATATGTAATGGTTGATTCATCATTTTATATAGTTTTCGCTGTTTTCAGTCTTATAAAGAAGAAATAGTATAATGTTACTTTTGATTCTTATATTTAAACATGATACCAAGAACTGCTTATGGTGGGCCCACAAATTCTTAGGTGGGCCTAAAGCACCCGGGCCGACCCCTAATTACGTCCCTGCAAGTATATTATAGTTACAACGTTTTATCCACAAGCATACAATATAAACTAAACCAACATTTATGACGTTTTGAAGGGACGTTTGTCGAATTAATTTTTATTCGGAAGGGAGCAGGGCCACACTCAAGATACATTCAAGCTATAGACATCTTGGCCACATCATTAGCTGTGGCTAATCTGTGGCAGGGCTAACCAACTCTAGGCTAACCATGAGACGGTTGCTATTTTTTTTCATAAGACCCGTGTGCGTTATTGATATCATAAGACGTCTCCTAGTAGTGGTATTATGACCTAATAATAGACTGGTTATGGATAAATTAAACTAAATAAATTCTAATTACTAATTAATTAATTGAACGTAAATGCACTAATAGACGGATAGGATCATGCCATGTCTATAATAATAACATTGCAAAATTGTAAAATTAATAAACAGATGCCAGAACAATAGACCAATGAAGGGCTTCAAAAAACAATACATCATTCATGCATAAATATGTGTTATTCGTAATATTAAAATTAAATGTGAAATTTCAACCTAACGGTTTTTCAGGATATGCAACCTATTATACAAGTTAATATTACTGATTGCCTATATATGTAACACTCAAGTTTAAAAAAAAAGGAAAATGTCTCGTTGAAACGATTATTACTCTTTAAAATTTTACTACAAAGGATACTTGTAATAACGGTTTTTAGATGTTTTTTTATTGCTTTTTGCATTTTTTAACTGTGAATTAAAATAAAGCTGTTGTTTATTCTAAGTGATTTTATAATCTTATTGAACATACTTGTCAGACTATTTAATTTTGCTTTAAATGATTGGTTTTGGTAACACAGTACCTGGATAACTCTCTTTATCAGCCGGCCAAATGCATTTACCGAATATATTGCCATTATGACTTTAATATAATTTTTAAATGTATTTTATCTTTAATAATAATGGAAGTAAAAATGAATTAGGAATTAGGTCAGGTTTGTAAAAAAATGACAAGTGAAAAGTGCATTTTATTTCTAACTCAAACAATTTAGAATATGAAATATGTAAGGAGGTCAGGTACGCTGAGGCAGAGTGCTTATTTTCTGTTTATTTTATTATTAAATAGACCGTATATCTATTTCTCGGTTTCTCATCCCAGACGTAATTGCCCACAAGCGCTTTAATATTTACGATGATTATATTTGCGAAAATTCTGAACCAACCGAATAAATACCAAAATAGAAAATATAGCCATTTGCGATGATGCTTTTTTAAAGCATTTTTTGTTTATACTAATATTCACGAAAAATTCTTTCGACAACAGCGAACAAATTTAATAAATCACCAGTTTTTTACCAAACAATTTGAAAAAATGATAAGCCTAATGGAATATTTCTAGCTATATAAGCAAGTTTTATTATACCTATTTAATGCTTATTGCGCAATGTTCATCCAAAATTAATAAGAATTATTGGCTATAAAAACGCAAAAAAGCGTCTTTAGGATCAGTCGATCTAACAATTGCGCCAAAAATGGCAAATTTCAAATGGACAAAAATCATTGAAACAAACATTGTTGTGATGAAAGCAGTCGGAATGTGGCCAGAAAAATCATTTTTCACCTGGGATTTTTACAACATATTCTTTTATTTCATGGTGACATTTTTGTTAGTAATTCACGTTTTGCTCCAAACAATACAAATGGTTCGAATCATCGACGATTTTAGACTCTTTCAAGCAGCATTTTCTCTAGCATTGCAACAATATAACGTCCTTATAAAACTCTTATACTATATCGTGAAATTTCCTAAACTGAAAAAATTTTTTCATGTACTAAACAACTATCAGGTGTTTCAGCCGCATAATCATGATCAAGAAAAGATGTTGGAAAGTAAATTAAGTGCCATGAAAAAATATTACATTTTTTTGTTTTATTTTATGACGTTTATTGCGGTCAGTAGTTTGATTTTGTACCCAATTTTCGATAATTTAAACAGTGGTGAACGTGAACTTCTTCTCATTTGTTGGTTCCCATACGATTACAAGACTTCTCCTTACTACCAACTCACATACTTCTACCAATCAGTTTCGATAACGTTTGCAGTGTTTATTGTTCTTCAAATTGACACCCTTGCTTTACTTTTAATGACTTATATTGGACTTCAGTGTGATTTATTGTGTGATAATTTTCGACAACTTGGGTATGAGTCGTCTAAAAATAGTAATATTGAAAGTGGATTTGTAAATTGCATTAAGCATCATCAGAATTTAATCAAGTAGGTATTGCAAATATACATAAAAAATTCCTAACAAGAAGAAATAATTTTCAGATTGAGTAATCACTGCGCTGACTTCACCTACATGCTGATCTTTGTCATCGTAGCCACAAGTTCCATTGCGATTGGAGTCACTTTGTCTCAAGTGTTTTTAAAGGTAAATACTATACAAAAAATCAGCCATTTTTTACATATTTCAGGTCTCGTCTTTCAATATAATTTTCCTTGTGGTTTACATATTAACCGTAATATTCCAAATGTTTCAATATTGTTGGTTTGGCAGCGAAATAATGTACAAGGTAAGCCAATTCAGAATTCAACTTAGCAAGACTTGCGCAGATGCGTCACAAACACATGACTTCGATTTGGCGCGCTTTTTGATTTTCAGAGCGACAAAATCCCCTACTCAGCATTTGAAATGAATTTCCTTGACGCTCCTCTATCGACAAAGAAAAATTTAGTAATTTTCCTAACTTGCACTCAAAAGCCTATACAAATGCCGATATTAAAAGTGACTCATCTCTCACTTCAAACTTTTATGAAGGTGTGAAACTATTGATGTTTATACAAATAACTAAAATTGAATATTTCAGGTACTTCAAACCGCTTGGTCTTATTTCGCTCTACTTATTCAACTCAGTAGATAAATATGTGCATTTAAATATTCACACAAACCGCGTGGACATGGTCAAAGGCTTTAATTTGCATTTAGGTATACATCTTTAACTCTGTAGTAACTAGGAGAGGGTTAGTTTAGTTGAAATAGATAGTTGAGGTTTGATCGATATATTTAAATATCTACATATTACATGGAAGAATAAATATTTTACATAGATAAGAAACTTTAAAAAGATAAAATTAGATTCATGTTTGACAACTTATACACTATCTAGCTGCTTACGAGCATTTCAATTAAAAGAATAAAACATCACACCAGCAATGACTTGATTAGCTGCTATAACCCCTGCCCCCCGACAGTGCGTTTAAAATTATTACATAAAATTGTTCTACTTTACTTAATATCTAAAAGAAATGATGTATTTTTATTATCGAATAATCTCCCGTATTTTTTATCCAAATCCTTGATAAACTCTTCTTTCAAATTTTGTAAACACCTACAAATCAAACTAAAATTTATGCCAAAAAACAAACAAACAAATTACATTCGGTAAACCGGCGAAGTACGAAACTTTGCAATATCGTAACTAGGCGCGTGTGGTTTATGAATAATAAATGCATTCGGTAAAACAATCCATTGGAAGCCTTGCGCTTCCAATTCCATAATATGAGACACCTTATTCCACCCAAAACCCATGAATCTATTATCATATTCAGTGACGTCACTACTGACCACTATATACGGTTCAAAATCAGGCTCCCACTTTACCTGAAACACGACTCTAACATTTACTCCCCCGGCGAGGTTTCATACTTTATAGGGTGCAATTGCCGATTTCCACTTCGTGTAATTCGTAGGTGCATGTCCAGCCACCCACACATCCGATCTAAATGGGAAAACAGACTTTTTCTCCCACATACCCAACAGTAGGGCTTTGTTTTTCGGAATGCGACTTCGGTATCTTTGGGTTTCAAACGCAGGAACTATCAAAGCCTGAAACCATATTTAACATAAATTCACACACAAGGGGGTTATACTTTGGCTTTCATGTCACGAATGGAATTTAAGTGACTTTTCAGTACGGAATATAAACCTTTCATTGGTAAAAAGTCAATATCGGCCAAGAAAACAAAAGGAGTGTCGACGTTTCTTAATCCAACGTTGCGTAAAATGTTGATCGGGTGATACTCCTATTGAAAATTATTAGAATTGTAATTTCTCGAAAAAAAACTAGTTACCCCATCTTTGAATACTGCATGGTAGGCTATGTTAGTACGGTCCTGTAACAACTCCGAATTTTCAATAAAACTGTAACATTGTTGAAACTCAGGATCAGTAACGTAAAATGTGAGACTAATAGGGCCTTGCCAGTACTTAACCAACTCTTCAACCATTTGCAACCTATCGTAGGACAATTGTGCGACAAATGTAACATCGTTTTTGGCATTTTCCTCGAGCGAATGTTGATATTCCCGAAAAAATAACAAAGTTCTCCACTGACTAGTTTTGGCGCGATGGAATTCGGAACAAAGGTCGATTTGTGGTTCCTAAAAATCTATTCCTCATTTGATAATAAACTTGTGAAAAAATTACATTAGCAGCGTCTTGTGTCGTGTTGCAATAATACAGCTGTCGTCGTAATAGATTTCCGTTGTATTCCACAAAAGTCTGGTGTAATGTTCGAAAATAGTCCCCGTCTTTGTTAACAACATGAGTTTTTTTTGGCGAATTCCAATGGACAACTTTAATTCTAAACTTATTGTAACAGTTGTAGCTTAAAGCGTGATCACTTAATTGAGTATTCCAGTAACAAGGCACTTGATAGAGGAGATCGGTGTGTTGTAATAACACCGCGTTTATTATGTCTTGATCTCCTAACCGGGTTGAACCATAAATTATCGCTACTTTTTTGGCAACGGAGGGCCATAAGTTAGGCCAGTCGAGTTTTTTAAGTCTTTCTAAATTGTAAAGCAGTACGCCAGAATTAAACCTGAAACATTTCAAAGTTTCAAAATGATTATTCAAGCAGATAGAAGTCACACCCTCTGCCGCTGGCAGGCCAAGGCTTAATTTTGGTGTTCTTTCCCAAATAGTAGTCGCTCTGATTTTCTACAATTCCAATCGTTTGTTTATTATTAAATTTTTCAAACAGTCTCCACAACTCTACAATGTCACCAACGAAAGTTAAGTCAGTATCAAGAACTATGATTTTTTTGGTAACGTTTAAAGGAATTATCTTCGGGAACACAAGCTTTAGCAAACCAAAAATACCAGAATAATGGCTGTTAGGGACCCATCTCACGTCCTGAATGAAGTCATTAATGTCATAAAATGTTGCATTACCTAAAAAAAAATTATAAACTAAACTGCGGACAAAAAGAAGGCAAATACTTTGTGGTAAGTTCCAGGTATTAAATAAAGTTTTCAGGACCTTTTCCGAAACTTTATTCACCATGATATGAAAATGGATGGGATTTATGTTGTAAAAAAATAACGATTTTAATAATGTGTGTAAATATAAATTAGACCTGTATCCTGAACAAACAAATCCAATGTGAATTATTTCACATTTATCGTGTAGTGGGTTATTTTTTTCCGGTTCTTTGAATGTTAGTGTGTTTTTTTGTCCAATCCATTGACTGTCATCCTCCTTTGAGATATATGCGAGTTTGTTATTACTGCTAAGATCTTTGTAAACTGCAACCCTAAGCTTGAATACGATTATGTTAATTGTGAATACAAACCTGAATTGTAAGGTATAACAAAATTCATAATTATTAAGAAAATTATAGTAGACAAAACTAAAATAATTAACCAGTATCGAGGAAATTTGCAAGTGAATACATTTCGTTTTTTTGAACGAATATTTACAAATTTTGATACATAAAAATTCCTACAAAAAACAAGTTCATAGCCGCCTTGTAATTAGTAAGAAATTCTCTATTACCTGAACCGCCTATTGTGCTATATCATTCCAATATAAACAATTAATTCATCACTGTTAATTTATTTTTGTAGTTTGAAAAACTTAACCTCACATCAGAAATTGACATTTGACAGTAAAAGTTCAGCGAGTCTTTCGTTAAATTTAATTGATCTACTAGTTGATTTAGAGTAATTTTTAAATTTTTATTGTATTGTATGCTAAATTAGAGTCTTTATTGTCGATTATTATCCAAAAACGAGGAAATAAATTTAAAATGGCACTGATCGCGTCCTGGAATCAATTTGGAAATGTCAATTCTGACAACTCGCGTCCTATATTTACCACAAAGTGACATGTCAACAATTACAATAAAACATTCATAATAAGTGTAAAAATGAGTGACGAAACGAGTAATTTATTAAAATTGGTGTTCCCCAACGGATTTCCGAGTAATTAGAACGTAAATTTTTAAACTGTAACTCTAGTCATGTTTATTAGGTGCATGGGAGTACAGTACAGCTTTCAGCGACTACATTTCCCGATTAGGGACATACAAAGTTGAAGATTTATCCCGCGAACCCGCTCGTTTGAACGAGGAAAAGGCTTCAATTCACGAACAGACTCAGGAACTGGCTGTTACTAATTACAAAACGTTTATTGAGACGGCACAGTGTTCTCGCGATTTGTTCACCCAATTCAATACAATCGAGTCGAAATTAGATAATCTTCTTGAAGATATACCCCAATTTGAAAAGAAGTGTCAAACATTTGGGGAAGAAACGAGCGGGATTAATAATTTGCGACGTTTGAATTCATTAACGTTGACACGAAACGCACAATTGCTTGAAATTTTAGAACTCCCACAATTAATGAATTCGTTTATTAATGACGGTTTGTATGAGGACGCTCTTGAACTGGCTAGCTATGTGCGAAAATTACATAATAAACATCCTGATGTACCTATTTTTAAAGTAATTCAAACAAACATTGGGGTTTTGATCTCTTAATCAATATTTTTTCAGAGCATTGTCGGCGATGTTGATAAGGCCTGGTTGTTGATGTTACACCAATTAATTACGCAATTAAAACAAGAATTGTCTCTACCTAAATGTTTACAAATTGTTAGTCATTTGAGGAGGATGCAAGTTTTTACTGAGACAGAATTGAGATTAAAGTTTTTACAAACAAGAAACACTTGGCTTCAGTCTTGCTTGAATGCTATTCCTAAGGAAAATGGTATTTTAATTATTTTCAGTTTAAAGTTTTTAAAAACAATTATTTCAGCCAATTATCACTTGAACAAGACAATTGAAGTAACGAGAGTCAATTTGTTCAATATAATCACCCAGTATCGAGCAATTTTCAATGATGATGAGCACAGCCCTTTGGCTTCAATCAAAAGTCAGCAAGTTAACCAAAACGTAATTTTTTTTACTTGGATCAGAGACAAAATTTCCGATTTCTTGGCCACACTCGAGCACGATTTAAACCAGGGAGTGTCATCTATTGATACAATTTTGGCCCAGTGCATGTATTTCGGAGTTTCATTCAGTAAAGTAGGGTGCGATTTTCGGTCATCTTTAATTCCGATTTTTACAAATAAAATCGTCGGGGATTTTGAAAAATCTGTGAATGAGGCGATTAGACGATTTCAGTTAAACATGGAACGTTTTACTCTCATTAACAAAAATCACTCTAACGTTCCTTGGAAAAATAAAAATGAAGACCCACTACAACCCCCTGATAGTTTACTAGAATTTTACCCTATCGCTGAATTTTTAAATAATGTTTTAACGGCACTCAATGAATTGAAATTGTGTGCTCCCATAGCGGCTGTGAAAGCTGTCGTTGATTCATTGCAACATGCATTGTTGTTTATTGCAAAATCGATTCTAGTGTTGCATGGGCAGGAGCAACAAGCTTTCACGGCGAATTCTAAAGATGCTTTTACCAGATTGTGTATGTGTTTTGCTGATGATTTAGTTCCGTATATTCAGAAATGTGTTCACATTATCTTCCCACCGAGCAATATTGCGACTTTGTTGGGGGTGAATGTGCAAGTGTTGCAAAACGAAGGACTCACGTTTTTAAATAAAGATGTTATTGTTGACCCAATCAGACATTTATTGCCTGTTAAAATAACTCCAGTGTTTGATGTGGTTGAGAGTAATGAAAATGAAACAAAAACTGACGATAGTGATAGTAGAAGTGAAATTAAAAATGATGTAATGTCAGAGTAATAAAAATCGTTTTTTTATTTGTTTTATTTATTTTGTTCCGTTTGCACTTCCGCATTTATGAAAGCTTTTGACTGTCTGTTAAGCCCGTTCCGCTCCCTCTCTTTCAACTCTAGACACAACTCGTAAATTCCATCATCGTCCAAAAGGTCACAATTATCAAGCATTGTCAATCGTGTCGTTGAACTGAAATGTAAACGAAGCTTTCGTGGCAGATCCAACACTCTCACATTGTTCTCTTGAATATCGTGGAACGGAATATATTCAAGCATTGAGTAAAAAAGTTTATCTTCTTGGTCTGGTGCTATTGAAACTTCAGTTTGACACTTACTTTCGGAGATAACATGAGCTTTTATTTTATTACTTTCAAGGATGTGAGGATAAACGCGGATCATCGTTTGCACCTCTTTGTCCATCATGGTCTTCTCGGACTGAACTCGATGGCGAGAACCCCACATTTCTGACAGAAATTTTAATTTTCGGATCAAAATTTTTGACGTTAAGAGCACACATTTTTTTAAGAGTTTTTACAACAATAGTATATAACATTACTAGCAAGGTAACACCCGTTACCTTGCGTGTATTGTTTTATATTTTATTTGTTTCTCATTTGTAAAAAGGTTAGACAAATTTAAATTTCGATTACAAAAAAATTCTCAATAATTTGTCGTAAACGTCGTAAGCTATGGAAGCGTTATCATAAACATGTATGTTTATTTTTCTTTTTATTTGTTTTTGCGAAAGCGAAAATGAACGTGCCAAAAGAAATTATTGAGGAAGCCAGCAGTATAGTTTCAAGTTTATTACCTGCAAAATCAAACTGATTTTCAAGGTACGAGCGAGAATACGACGACTTCAAAAAGTGGCAGATTGGGGTAACTGAAGATGTTTTGTTGGTCTACGTGAATCAACTATCTGCTAGATTCAGTCCTAATACTTTATGGGCAAAAAAGTCTATGCTCAAAAATTGCTTGGAAATGAAAGAAAATGCTCCACTTCGCAGGTTTGTTTTCCTTAAAAAATTATAAAAAAATATGACGTTTAGTTGTCGTTTAGCGTTTCTTAAACGAAAAAATGAGCGTTATACGCCAAAAAAGGGCCAACGTATTAACACATTAAGCGCCACCGTACTAAAAAAAAGTTATTTTTGGGCCCTGCTACTATTTACTTTCAAATCACTTTAAATTGCATTAAATTATTATCACAGATAATCAAAAACATGTTTAGGTTTTATTTGGAGGTATAATTTATATGTATACATGTGGCCGATAAAACAAAAACAGAGTTTTCAAATATCTTTTGTACTTTATGTCTAATGAATGTGAACAAGAAAAACTTAAAAAATTGTAGGACCATGCTTTTTTTGACGAAGACGAGTCAGATCTACTTAATATTTTGTATAAAAATAAGTTTTGTGCTACATATTTTTAGTTACGCTTCATTCAATATGTTAGGTATTTATATTACATAAATTGTGGAAAAAAACTCATTTTTGTCTATGTACGAAAGAGATAATTGCGGGCCTCTAATACTTTTCGTACCAATGGGCCACCCGTAAACGTTTCTCCATACAGTTAAACCAGTGTCTTGTAGCTTCGCGAATACAGGGGGCTTGAAACGAAGGTGTATCGCTGTATCCTCTCGGATACAGGTGGCAAAATAGTACAACACCGCCTGTATTTTTATGGATACAAATGGCGCTTAATATGTTAAGTAAAGAAGAGGTTGAACGATTTCTTTGGACGCTCCTGATGACCAGTGGTTGTTTGCGTAAATTGTAACAATATTTAGGATTTGTGGATGTTGTCGATGTGATGAAATTCTCTAATTTTCTAATCTAACTAATGCTACTAACTTACAAGTTAACTGTCAGTTTTACAAGTTAGTGACTTGGTAACATAAACTTTTTCTATTTCGGTGTTAGAATAAGTTTATTCCAGCACCCAAATGACGTCATTTGCGTGCTGGAATAAGTTGTTCGCGGTAATTTAATTTTAGTGACGGACTTTCTTCACAATTCATTTTCAAATGTGAAAATAAGAATATTTTTTATTTTTTACAGCCGCCTAAAATTATTCCACACATAAATGTCGCCAACCGTCGCAAAATTCTCTAGAAAAAAACAAATTAATTTTCGTTTTTTAATTTATAAAATGATATAAAGCGGCGAAATAGAAAAAATAGTATAAAGCACTTGTTGCAAAAGGTTCTTCAAGCACTCATTTGTTCCTCAACTCGCCTTCTGCAACTTGTACTTTAATATACCTACTATTCTTGAGTAATATTGTGTTTTTGAAAATTGACGTTTACAAATGAGTATCAAATAAAAATTGTTATTACAATATTAGTGTAGTTACATTATTTGCTACAAAATTTATACAAAATTTCGACATCATAAGCTTCGACAAGTAAATCATAGATAAAAAAGTAATACAACATAAGAATTAATTTAAAATGAAAAACTAAGACAATAAACTCTTGAAGATCGTAAAATGCATTGCTAATTAGAAATTTAAAGATTATAATTATATTTTCAATTACTTGTAGTTTTAATTAAAAGAAGTTAAATGTTTAAGTTTGCTTTATATGCTTTATGCTTTATAGCCTTTTTAATCTTAATATCAGAAAATACCTATATTTATAACTGTGTTTTTTTGATATAAGATGAGAAAAAAACAATACTTTATCTGAAATAAAATCAAATAAATAACTATGTATTGAAATTGACGTACCCTGAAATGTTTTGTTTTTTATTTTTCGTTGAACTAATCTTATCAGTGGTTTAATTCGATAAATGTTTAATAATCATTAAAAAAATATGCTCCTCCCTTATCCAATAAACTAGAAAAGTGTAGAATTTGTTTTGTACTTGTGTCCAAACCTTGAGTGCCAAAATTGATGTTTTATATTGCTCCCACGTAAATTTTTTACGACGTTTAATATCCCTGCAGGAAAATTGGGAAATATTTTTTTTATTATGTATGATATTATATTTCGTTTGGGTTACACGGTCCATAATTTTTTATATCTTTTTTCACCATTTACATATTTTACATTTGAATGGAACTGTAAATTAAGCATTTAATTTACATGCATTTATAATTAGCAAGAAAAACAAACAATCCAAGAATGGTTTCATTAAACATGAAATTGCAGATATTTTCTTGGTAAACGAGTACAAAACTGACATCCATTGACATAGAAAAAATATTCCACATTAAACATTGTCATGAGATTGTCCAGGTGTGACAAAAATAGTATTTTCGACGAGGTCCACAATCACACAGTTGCGTTTCAGTTTATGTTAAACGCTGATATGTCAACATTCGGAATTGAATTGCCACGAGAAGACGTGTACGAACAGGCTCCTTCCTCTTCCAGAAGAGTGTCCATTGTCGCTCTAAAACCTCCAAGAATGAACAATTTTACCAATAATTTTTCTCCTCACACCTTCTATCTCCTCGCGGCATTATGTCTCATCCAACATCGTTGCTAAACTTAGTTTGTGATAATTTCGGGAACGGTACTACCACAACCGTTGTAGTAGTACCGGTCGAGCACGTGGACCCCCTTTTCCTATACGAATTTGTTTGATACAGACTAAAACGCAACGTTAGTACTTCAAAGTCGAGACTTTGGCCCTTTTAGACCCATACCGCATGCTGTCTCTGGCTTGCGACGACCAATCTTTACTAGAAGAGTATCTTGTTCTTCTCGAACCTAAAGTTCGACGAGTGTGCCAGCTGTTATAATGGTGGCGCACCGTATTCTTCACCTCAGCGTTGAGGAAACAGTAAAAAAGCGCCACAGTAAAGCCCTAAAATACAACTTGGAGCGAGTTGCAAAGGAGTTTTTCGGCAAACCTGTGTTGATAAAAGGATGGCTCTAATGCTGTCGTATATGCGTCGAGAGATGCCTTCAGTGGGCCCCACTATTACGAGAATGTAAGTGACTCCCAGGAGGGGAATAAGGACTAGGAGAGCTTTGGCCGCTTTCCGGTATTGTTGCGTTTCCACATTGTTGGCTGACCGGAGTTTGGTTATTAATACCTGGAATTGGGGTTGTTAGTGTCAGGGGTGGGGTTAATTTGTCGCTAACTCACCCACATGATTATGCAAAGGAATATTAGATTAATTATAAGTACGGCAATTGCGGGTATTTGATAGATCCAGTCGAAAGGATGCGGAGTCCAAGGACAACTCCGGAACATTTCCCCCGCCTGGAATTATTAAAAATTACAAATTTTGAAATGTATTTGATTAATTATTAGATTAAGTGGTTATTTGTTCAGGTGCCAGATACTTGTCGGATAAAACAAATAAAATAATTATAGACAGTTACTCCAAACTCTAATCTGGTAAACATTTACTCGGCACAATTTCCAAATAAATTTAGGTGTGATCTTATTTATTTGGAATCGTGCGAACATTCGTCCACGTCAGCTCACTGTCGGCGTGATAATGATCATCGAAGGGTCTCGACAATAGTGCCAAAATAGAACATCGATTTTAGATTTAAAATTACCTGTTGGTCTTCTAACGGTAGTGTGAAACTTTTAGCAATGCCCCATACCAGCACAAACAAAATCGGTCCTCCTAAAAAATAAAAATCGATAAAACAATTTCATGGTTTGAAGCATCTTTATGAAAGCTTTGAAACAGACGGGTTTGTGGTGACGATTAGTTTCTGTAAATGACGGGAAATCATTGCGGTTTTATTCATCCGAAATTAACGAAATTCTGAAAGGAGCGATGAAATACAACTTTTGCATTATTTTACAAGCTCTGTAGTAAATTGTACAATGTTGTTTACTAAATTTTCATTTAAAATGCAAATTAACCTTGCATAAATGACAATTTTTACTAAAAAATAAATTGGTGTTTTGAACACTACATGATTTTTTATAGATACGAGAACGTGTTGATAATAGTTGTTTACATTTAGTGTGGTAACAAGTGGTTCAGATTAAATTTTATTGCGTGGGTATCATTTTAAAATTTTTGAGGATGTTTTCTTGAGTGGCCACTGTCGGCAACTGGATATAGACAAGAAGTTCTATTTTTTAAAATATTTCTCGACAATTCCAGATTATAAAGAATACATTAAAATTTAATTCAATAAATTTAAAAAATTAGAGAGTTTTCTTAGACTTGTGTAGCTACTAAAATTTTCATTTCTTTTCACAATGTACGAGTACATGTAATCGAAATAATATTTGGCTAATAGTTTAAAAATAAATTTGTGCAAAAACTCAGATAAGTACGTATTTTCAATATGTGTAACACAAAACGCCAAAATCTGCAGAGTCTAAATAAAAATGTCATCAAAAATGTTCTGAAATTTTCATGTCTAGATTGTGATTGTGCTGTTTAACAAATGATGCTCCGGAAGATGCTGATTTTTAGTTTATTCTAAACCCACAACACAGTGGTCTATTTGCGGACAGCAAAAGCACAGACAATTTTTTTGCTGATTAATAATAAAAAGCGTGTTTAGTAATTTTATTTGGATTATCTTTTCCAACAGAAATGGTATTTTAGATAAGTAATTTTCATCATTAGTGTTAAAATAATCTCTTTATTTATAAAGGATTTTCATTTTAACCCACAATTCAGTGGGCAGATATGTGGTCTTGTAAAAGGCATGTTTAATTTTATAATGAGTTTTAGTCGTTTTGGAGTATACAAACTATCAAATTTTAATTTAACTTTGAAAATCATCACATATCACGTAGGTGGTTCATGATACTTCTATTTTTAATTTTGTATTCATTTTGATAGAATTTTTTGTGTTTTCTTTTATCGAATAATTCCAGCTTTAAAGTTATGTAATTTCATTTTAAATTAAATTAAAAAATTAAAAGTAAAGTTGCAACTTTGATTATAGAATGTCTCCAACCTTGTTCGTAATGCAACGACCTAATTAGCAGTTAATAAGTAAGTTACCTTGTAACAGCATTGGTTTTAAATTACATTGAGTGTGAGTTATTTAGTAGTGATCAATAATAGTGAATAATCACGTTTTAACAATATATAACGTAGCTACAAAAAAACTTAAAAAAAAATTAATTTGACAGTGGACATATAAATGCAATATTAATTTATTAATTATATAAAAAGCTTTTAATTTTTTTACAACTCACATCAAATCATCAAACTATGTGTTAGGTTGTTGCATATTTAAAAAAAATAATAATAATTTTGTCATTGACTAACAGCCACGCCTTACCTTATTAGGTAATAAGTTTTTCAAGAATTGAGACAAATTAAAAAAATCAATAATGTACGAGGCCTGTTCTCTTCCTTTTGAGGCAAACAAATTAAAAAAACCTTAATAATAACTTTTAAAACCTTTTTTCATCTGCTATAATTAGTTTTCAAAATATTTACCTACTGACAATATTTTTTTGCTTTTTTTCATAAGAGTAACCGTAATAATTGAAAAGCAAGTGTATAAGCATATGTAATTTTTTTAACGATTATGGCGTTTTTGCAAAATTTTCTTTTCTTCTACATAAATCCTGAAAAACAGTAACAGTCTTCTCGCTCACAGCAAGAACGTTTTCGTCAATGGGAGAAATTTTTAGACGTCTTTATCATTTTAAAGATCCACGACTTCAATAGTAAGGCTTTCATTTCAAAAGGAGCCAGTCTCAATAACTTTTGACATTGAGTAAATATACCTATTTTCAAGTAAAAACACGTCGATTAGGATCGCGAGGGGGAAGTTCAAAATCAACATTAGTTACATTTTAAGTTTCATCCCCCAGTCGCTAGCCACCCCTACTTTAAAATTTTAAATGGTACCCCTTACTTTTTAAAACGTTTTCGGAAAGAGAAAAGATCAGCGTACCTAAATGTCAAAGAAAAAAAACTTTGGTTGATTTATTTTTCAGTTTAGAGTGGTTTAATTCTTGAAATTTTTAGTTCAAGTAGCCTTTGATTCAACTCAATTTAAGTTAAATAAAAAATATGTCAGTTTGGGTTGCGACGGGAGAGTTCAAAACTAACATAAAATACATTTTAGGATTCATCCCTTATTAGTCGCTAGCACCTCCCACTTTAAAATTTTAAATGGCACCCCCTACTTTTTAAAACATTTTCGGAAAGAGTAAAAGTGAGCGTGTCTAACTGTCAAAGAAAAAAAATTGTCGATTCGTTTTTTAGTTAAGGGTGGTTTAATTTTTGAAATTTTTAGTCCCTGTAGCCTTTGATTTAACCCAATTTAATTTAAATAAAAAATACGTTGATTTGGGTTGCGATGGGAGAGTTCAAAACTAACAGAAAGTACGTTTTAGGTTTCATCCCTTACGGTTAGATAAGCTTTTTCTCCCCTTTCCAAAAATGTTTCAAAAAGTTAGGGGTGCTTTTTACAATTTTAAAGTAAGAGTGGTTAGTGACTAGGAGATGAAACCTAAAACCTAAACCTAAAAAATTTCAAAAATTAAACCACCCCTAACTGAAAAACAAAAAATCGACAAAAAAAATTTCTTTGACATTTTGACGCTGATTTTTTCTCTCTCCGATAACGTTCTAAAAAGTAGGAGGTGCCATTTAAAATTTTAAAGTAGGGGTGGCTAGCGACTAGGGGATGAAACTTAAAATGTAACTAATGTTGGTTTTGAACTTCCCCCTCACGATCCTAATCCACCTGTTTTTGCTCAAAAATACATTTACTCAATGTCAAAAGTTATTGAAACTGGCTCCTTTTGAAATGAAAGCCCTGTATAGTAGATTACACACCGAGGTGGAAAGGTGGAAAGTGCGTCAATATTAACTTTATTTCGAGACAGAAATTAAACTTTCTACCGAGCTTTGTATACGATTTTATTTACAACAACGCTTTTTTAATTTTTGTGCCGTTTTCATAATAGCAACTAACATTACAAACAAGGTAATGGATGCCTTTAGGTAATAGTGACAAAAGTGGGACTAAAAAATGAGGGTAGTAATAGAAGTAGGTAATGAGTCGCTTTCCAACTTCCACCAAGATTAAAAAAGTCAACATTAAATATACGGTTATGAATAAAATTTATTCTAACACTGCATTGCTAACGTCTTAACCCAGTTGGACAAATTTGTTAATAAATTTCCCGATTTCTAAGAATATAATTCAGACGAGTATTGTGTTTCCCTTGGTTTTGTTTCTTGACTCAACATTCAGTATAATAAAACGTCACACAACCCCGAATGAGAGCACGACTTGTCAATTCCATTTGGAATAAATCCAAATCGTGTTACCTGCCATATTATAAATGGTAGGTACATTTATTTAACTCGGTGCTAAAATCAATTTTCATTAATTTTAAATGGTCGTAATTGATTACAATTCAAGGATGACCTGGCTTTATTGGCGCTTCGCAAATCATTAGTTCCCACTAATCTGTCGCTAAATACGGCTTCTCTTGCTCTTTCAAAACCGTTTGAAAATCGTACTGCAAGCGCTAATTTCACCCGGAAAAACCGTGCCTCGGAATATTCATTCGTATCATTAAAAACCACTGTATTCAAACTTGTTACGTTGTAATCGCCTGTAAAGCTTTGATTGAACTTGAAATCGGCCTTATTGTAATTACTGTCATTAGACACAAACAATATGCAAATGACATCAGAGCAGAATCGTTCGAAATGATGAATAATGATACGTGAGGCTCTCTTCACTCTACGTTTTTAGAAAGCGCTGAATCGTGCGATAAAATCATAGCAACCGCCGTTGTAAAAGACGGACAAAGTGGCTTTCACCCTTTTCGTCAGCGACACGTAACTAATAACATACCCCAACCTATTACTGCGTAGATCCGAGGCTTGATGTTCTCGCCGGTGAATGTTTTCACCACCAAAATGTATAGATATAAACCTGAAAATGTATCGGTGTTAACGAATCATGTCTGTGTTGTTCAACTTTTGGTAATTGAATCTGACGGGCTAGACTAATAAGAAGAAGACTCTAAGGTCAAGGTGAAATGTAAACTCTAATCAACTTAAAAAAATATCCAACATTCTTGTTCGTTCGGACTTTCCGGAGCTCCGGAATTATATGACATGCGACATGCAACATGCAGCTGAAAATAATTTCAAATAACAACGTACTGACCTTCCACAAACATCCAGAAAAAGTTGGTCAGGTGGAAGTAGTGCAGTAGAATTATGAGGAATATGCAGAAAGCCTTGTTAGTTTGTAAAGGAACCTTGAAACAGTACTTTAGTTAGTAAAAACCAAAAATTCAGAAAATATGAATTGGAGAATGATCAAAGCTCTTTTTACGGACAGTTGTTTGTTTTTGTATAAAGGAATATTTTAATTAAGCAAAGAATGTAGTTTTTTTGTTAATTAAGAGCTTGGAATAAGACACGTAATAAAACAAGAAATGAGGAAGAGTACAATTGAGCATTAAAAAACTTTAATTTAGCGTTAAATTTACAGACAAATAATTCAAATAAAAATTTCATTAAAAATACGTGTATTTCGTAACTACATTACTACATATTTACTGAATTAATAATAAATGGTCAATTTAGTCACGGTTTTTAATAATTTATTTATTGACATCAATAGGTACAAAACACGAATATTTAAACATAAACCAAAACATTATTTTATTTCAAAGTGAGTCATCACACCCGGTCTTACCCTAGTTAATTTATATTTACTGGTTAATTCCACCGCTTGCATTAGTATTTTCTTCATTACACAAGTTTTAAAACCGTAAAACCAAAATTATTTCATTTTAGTTCAAATGCAACATTTTAGTGTACTAACCCACAATCCGCGGGCAGCAGACTTGAACTTTGTAACTATAACAAAATGTAATTTAAATATAATTTCATTTACGTCCATCAGTTTTTAATTTTTGTTATGTTAACTTTTAAAATAAACGTATTCTGTGACCGGTAAAAGTATTTGAAAATATATCCTGGGTTAATGTTGATGAAGAAGCACTTTATGAGCAAAAAATCATCTCTCAACACATAATTACAACAAATAAGTAGTAAAAATTTGTAACGAAGCAGTTTTTGATTAATCTTTTCGCTTTGGAAAATCGTAAATGTTGCAAATTGCCACTAAAATCCTAAAGATCCTTCAGTCGTAAAATTTAAATGGGAAGCATAAAGAATCGGTTGAAGTTGTTAATAAGAGGAAATAAACTGTCTTCAAGGAAATTAAAATAAAACATGCCGTTAAAAATAAGGCGTTTATTAATAAATTTATATAACACGGATTAAAATGTGGCACATGGGCAAATTAAGGTGCAAAATTCGACTGATTGCACTATATTTGAAAATTAAGAACAAATATTTGTCTGAGATAAAATTCTGTTTCCCGTGTTTACATTACTATTTCTGATGAAATAATCACGTCTGCATAAATCGGTAATACCAACCTGTAAACTGTAAACGAAAATCCACATAAAATCCGCAAGGATGTAGGAACACATCAGATTCATATGGATGGTATTTCGCAGACATCGCAAGTCTCTGAAAATAAATGAAATTCTCAAAGTTTGCAACTTTGACAAGTGGATCAGTTTTTTTCTTAATTTTACCAGCAAGTTGGTGGGAGATAGGGAAATATTTTTAGACTTGCCGAAAGTTAAAGCAGGCTTGTACAAACTTTTTAAATCTATTCAAATGAAACTTTAAGTATTATCTAATAAGATTCAGATAAAGGTAAAGTCGTAGCTTTCCAGGCTTTCTAGGAGTTTTCACCTTAAAACTGCAAATAAATTTCTTGCATAATAAGAAAGTGTGCTCTAATCTTTTCTAGAATTATCGATTAGTCGGAAAATGAAGGGTGGGACCCTAGAAAAAAATTATCTAGTAACATAATTAAACATTCAATGATAACGCAATTGGGAAAGTGATGAAATCCCGTGACTCAAATTTAAGTATTTATTTGCTAATCCACATAATTCCACTTGTCGATAGGTAAATATAATCGAATTCGAAAAATTTTACTTGGAGCCGTATACTTATTCAGATAACAAAATTTGTCGTAACATTTTTGTTTACTTTCCTCTCGACAATTTTAAAATAGTGCAAAAAGACTCACCTGAAAATCACTCATGTGGATCAATACTTCTTATTGGTTATAGATAGCGATAACAGTCGACATGGGCCATATAAATGTTTAGTTCAAAGCCCACCCGCTCCAATTCGTGTTAATGGTGTCAAACGTGTCAGGTATGTCTTTTTCATGTTTTTTTACTGCGAGGAAAGCAAAGGGCCCTTGGGTGGAAGGTTAGATCTTCGCATGATTCAAGTTGCCAGATCTAACTCTTCCATATGACGGTCATTTGCCAATCACACCCCGAATTTCGGTAAATATTGACAAATCTCAGCGGAAATTGATAAAATCGTGAGAACGATTTTGATCGAGCTCTGTAAAGTAAGTGGAGCAGTGGTCTCTTCACTTGATTTTTTATAGTGAGATTCAACTCCTCCATCTCATTTTTTGAGCTCGCTTACAACGCTTGAGGTCTCTTACTTGAACTTCCAGAAGATGTAAACGGCAAAGAGAAGCGCCACTAAGCTTACGGTGTAGCCAATGAAGTAGATTGTGGTTGTTAGTTCCACTTCGGGCACTTCTAAAGAGGACAGCTCTTTGCACGAGGTGTAGTTGCTGTATTGGTCCCAACTTCCGTTTGCGAAACACAGACGGGTCGCGTTTTCTGAAAAATCCAAATATTTTCAACAAAATTACACAGGGCGACCAAAAAGAAGTCATGTTGTGAAAACTTGACAAATTATATATCATTTTGTTTGTCTCAGTGAGACAAATCAAATGCACTAAAAAAATTTCAAAAAGTCTACACACTTTGAACTAAATAATTTTTTCCTAATTCAAATGAATTTAAAATACTTTAACTTTAAAAAATCATTACTCAATAACTATTAGGCCGATTTTCTTCAACTAAAGACCATTCTAAATGGATGGACTTGACCTTTAGAATGATTTGCAATTTGAAATTGTATATTGGTAAACTTTTCTTCGAACAGTGTTCGAAGAAGTTTGAAGCAAAATCGAAATAGTCTAAGAAAAACCCTACAAGTATTTTTTTTCATCATTACCATCGTGTAGAGCATCTCTATATCCAAATTTTTAAAAGAATATTTTTTGAAGTTAAGGTTTGCTAATCAAGCATTGCGCCATATCGCAGAAATGCATCTTAATCTTACTTAAAATTGCATTTTTATAAAAGTATTTGTTTTAGGACCCTTATTTTGCTTAAAAATTATCAATTGCACCTTCTTTGTTCTAATTTGAATAAACAAAAACTGTTTCTTTATTTAAAGCAAACAAAGAGTACCTGCGTAGTAATTAAAGTAAATAAAGAGTTTTTTTGTTCTAATAATGACCACTGATCATTGAGCACAAAGGATTTAGAAGTTGAAGGCACTAGCCTTAAATATAAGGGCAAATCTCTTTCAAATGAAATCACTTTCCATTCAGATTTTGACTACCTAGTTCATTTAGTGGACAGATTCTGTTTATTTCCATGACAAATATCTGAATGTTTATACAAGTTGTCCCACCTAAGACTTTCGGATCTAATATCTCTCTTATTTGCCAACGGATTCTAACGAAATTTAAAATATAGATTATTTAGTATGTAGAAATAAATATCGCATTACTAAAACAATCCCTAACATGTGATTTAAACATGCGTTTTAACAATTGCTAAATTGCTTAAAATTTATATCAAATTGTTAGTGGCCAATAAAAAGTGCCATGAGCAAAAATCTGTCCATGAAAGAGGTCCGGCTTGCAGGAAAAAAGAATAAAATTGTGTTAAAAGTGGTTGGAGATGCAGAAACATGGGCAGCTGTAAAAAAAGAACAATATTACCGAATTTTCATGGCTGTTGGGCGACAATGACATAATGACATTGATATGTGACTTTTATTATTTCTTTAACTTTAAAAAGTTAATAAAGTAATTATTGGATTTATTGGACTAATCAGTTCAATATAACAAAAAATGCTCGAAGGCATTGGCATCACTGCTTCTAAAAGTTCTAAAGGTGTTCTAACTTAATTTACCACAGGTTCTTAAGGTAGTACAAAATGGAGACGTTAAACTATTGATTTAGAGTTAACTTTCTCAAAAATTAGGTCAAAATGTTAACAACATAATCGACGTATTTCTACTAATTCAGAGGAATGAGTTATGTAGTTATTTCTTTGTGTAGAGGTATATTTTTTAGTGCGTAAAATTATTTTTTTATCTTGAGGTAACCTTATTAATACCAGTTGAATCTTCATCTTTTCTGTTGCCTACATTTTAATATTCATAAAAAAATACGTAATTTAGACAGGTTTGAAATTGTGTTAGAATGATATGGCAATGGAGCTTAATTATTTTGATTTAACGAAACCGATTCGATCATTTTTATAAATAAACAGAATAATAAAAAATGTATCAAATGGATTAACAGAATTCACCAAAATGAGTAAATAAGTAAAATTAATGGTGAAAATTGAAACTTTTTAATCTGTCCTAATAAGGTTTTTCGAGTAAAATGTTAGTATTAGTAATCTTATCAAATCAAAATATTTACTCCATCCAATTCTCCTAATTTGATAAATAAATCAACAATTGCGAAATCATCGGATTACTTTTATTTTTTTTTTCTATAGAAGACTCTGCAACAGAGCACTCTCGAAACTAATAAAATCACAAGTGTTCTGTAGCAATTATCTAATTAACCAATAATAATTAATCACATTATTGGTAAATATGCCAACTGTAGTTAAACGCTTGCAATATTTACCACTCAAAATGGTTCCAGTGGACAGAAATTGTTTAGTTAGTAATTAACCTTTTAAAAATTGAAGCGATAGACCTTAAAATAGTGTCATTTTGAAGCCACTTGAACGTTCTTGCGTCTTAAACGAATTCTCCCAAGTCGTCGTGAAGTCAAACCAATCAATTTAAGAATGGATAACTGTCGTCAGGCGATAGACAATAATAAATTACAGTTTTCTGTTAGTGCTCAAATACTTACCAAATTAGTTGGAACATTTGTAGCAACGGTTTTCTAGCACCTCACGTTCAACTAGTATCATTTTCCAAATGCTACATTTTTCTCTCGCATTTGTTTCGCAATACACATAAATTTAATTCGCCTCGTAAAATAAGGATGCAATACTTGCAAACTTTTGCAATTAATCTATTGTTTGTTGACAGTTTACATTCGGAGTTGGCATGCCTTTTTGCATCGCTGAATTCTATTCTTTCAACTCGTGGTCGCTCGTTTGATTTCAGTTGTTCTTTTGAACGTGGTGGCTCCCCAAATTGCTTTTTATTAGAAACACCGATGAAATAAAGTTAAGCATTCGTTTAAAGCGAAAAAAAGATTTTAGCATTTATTGAAGGACACTATCCCGGCGCATTCGCCATTTTTCTTTCAATTAACTCGCAATCGGCGATGTGTGAAGCCTTGCACCTGAGATTGCGTTGAAATGACGGAGTATTTGAAGGCAATTGACTGAGTGGAAGCAATTCTCTTGCGACTTTATTCCCACAACTAATTTAACTTGAAGGCAGCAACCAAAGAAATAATTATTTATAAGTTTGTGAGTACAACGCCGGAAGAAATGGGCCGAGTTGTGAGCACACATCCGAAAAAAACTCTCATTAGTTTTCGCATGAGTCGACACAAATTTTTCAACACACTTTTTTGAGCACAAAACAGCTACTCTAAAAATAATTCAGGTATTGATGCTGAAGAGAATATTATGCGAGGGTCTTATAACGTTGTGACGCTTTGATTTGAGTCGTAATGAAGCAAATGTGCACGAATAGGACTTGTCGTAAAATTTACGGCCACAGACACGCATCAAGGATATTACTTTTCATTAGGATTCCACTATAAAAGATTCAATTATAGGAGGGACTTTATTATGATTAGTTGAATTGTGGCTTTATTAGCTAATCTAAAGTTATGAACTTTTGGAGTTAATTGATCTGTGTTACGGTTAAATGTTAAGTGGAGGCAAATGCTTCAAAGACTTACAATTATTAAATTAACGGAGAAATTTACTACCTACTTGCAAGTGTCGCTGCAGAGAAACTCTTTTTTTTCGGGGTAAATTGTTAGCTCTCAAATGATTAAATTTGAAGAAAAAATAGACTAATGCGATCAAGCTTCATATTAGACAAATTTTACATTAATTTCACAACCTAATCCTATATATTTTTTGTAATTTTTGAAATCTCTTAAATTTCATTATATGGACGGTTTTTCTGCCATAATTCTCTAAATTTAACTTTTTTCACGAACCTTTGATGTTGAAAAAAAAGATCATTCGAGTGAAGCTTCAAAGAGTTAAAAACCCACTTAGTTTTTGTTTTTTTATTTCAAAAAATTCCCTCACTATTGTCTTAGTCAATACGAGTACCAAACAGATTTGGATGCATTTCTGTCAATTTTTTACGTTATTTTAATAAAGATTAAATTTAACATGCATTAATATGTAAAAATTGTTTTGGATTATTTATAAAATGTTTTTGTTTCCGTCGAAAGCTTCTATTTTTGTATAAAAATATGGAAAAATAATTGACAGCTACAATAAACAGTTGTGTATAAAATATAACCCGAGAGGCTACAAGTTACTATTTGATCATGTAACGTGTTAGGGCAGGTTCATTATCAATCATACCACAGTAAATTATGTGCCGGAGGCAACTTGTGCATATATGATGATGCACAATCGATGACCTGACATGTTTTTTTCAACTACTGACAAGTTTAACAAGCAGAACAAAGATAAAGAGATGAAATCACTGAAATAATTTAACTAACAAAAAAGCGTGATGAAGATAAAAGCTGCATTTTTTCGCTCCTTTTGCAGTTTAATAAAAAAAAATATTTAGGACATTCGAAGGGTTTCTGCGTTTACTGTTCGCTAATTTCTTCACAGCTTCAATCGCAAATAATTTTTTAAATTACATTAAAAGTAACTAAAAATCATGCACTGAAATTCCCTGGTATTTTTATTAAAAATAACTCCACCTATTTCAAAGAGAAAAATTGTACCTTTATTGTTTATAAAGCAAATATTTTATAGACGTTGGTTTGGTTAAAGGTAAAGCATTTTTGTTTTATCGAGAAAGTCACGATTCGAGGCCAAACGTTACAAAAATAATAAAAATATTTCAATCAAATACAATATTTACCAAATCGTGCGTCGGACGGTTCTTTTTATGGATTGATTTGTCTAGAATATCGATATCAAAGAAAACTACTTTTTTTCAAGGCTCAATTTTAGAATAGATTAAAAGACCGAGTTCGCATGACCCAAATACTGTATTTCAAAATTATATGAATATTGAAGTTTTCTCTCGTAATCTTTATAAAATCTTATGCATACACTTTTAACGAGCGTCCATAAAACTCCATTAAAATTATCTCACTCACCTCTGGTGTCGTACTTAATGCCATTGAGTTGGTCGAAGCAAGGTAAAACAGCAAGGGAATTCGGTGCCGTTTGCGGCCAACATAAAACAGTATCGAAGTCGACAGGACAGCCATTTGATAGGGGTGAGAGTGTTTTTTTAAGTTCACAAGCTAATTCCGCTTGGGTTTCATTGAGGCGGTTTAGGATCCGGACGAGGTCCTCATGACGGGCATAAACAACGTCGTCATTACCCTGATCCATGTTCCATCATTTATTCGCAAAACGACTGAAAAATAAACCACAACAATTATGTGCGCTGGTTATGCCTGATCACACAAATGCACGTGTGCAAACTATACTTTTAACAAAACAATATATTCATTTAAATGGAAACAGAGGAATTCCATGGACAAACAAACAGTGATGAAGTGTGAAATTTAAACGCTTTGGTGCTTTTTCATTCAATTTTTTGTACCTATTTTGTAATTATAGCAAAGCATATTTGGGTATTAAAGGGAATAATGGTTTTATCACACCACAGCATCGTAAATGATAATAATTAACAAATAGTACTCCTGCTTTTGTGAAACTACAGTTATGCTTGATAAATCTTGACAATACAAATATTGTGAAGCAACTAGCTAATTTAGTTAATTATGCGATGTAGAGGATGGAATAAACATCAATTTTAATGATTTTAAACTTTATTAAATTAACTAGAGAAAATTTATTAACAATAGTAAATTAATAATATTTTATTTCAGTGTTAAGTAAGTAAAAATTAGTAATTAGTAAAATTAGTAATTTTTACAAATTAGGAATTATAAGAAATTTCAAGGTAATTTAAGCTTTGATTTTATTTTGTAGTAAAAAAGACTTTTTGATTGGCTGTTTATGATCATGAGAAATTTTCTTTCGACAAGCACAGCCTTAGGCTTTTTGATGAACACAGAGCTTATTCTTACATCAATACAAAAGCAGTTTTTAAGTCTCTCGTTACGAGAAAAGAAACGCAAATTGCTTTCATAAGTTTTGCTAATGTGAAAGTTGAAAAGATTTTAAATACCTAAAAAAAAATTCATCTTATTAACTGCAATATCTTTCACATACCTAAACAAAAATTGAAATAATCAACTGACTCCACGAAAAGTAGTACTCAAAATTTGTTGAGTTAATCTTGAATCTTGAAATAATACAGAAATTTTTCTCGTGTCCAGAAATTATTCGGAAATCGACGAAATTTTAATAAACGTCGTCCGAAATTTACTTATACAAACCAATTGTTTTCGAGTTATGAATTTTAGTTATTTAAAAAGTTCGGAAAATTAAGAACGTCTCTCTGGTCGAAACTAAATCCGAGGGACTCCGGATTCTCGCTCTTTGATGGATAATTAAAACCGGACTGCAAAAGTTTTTTTGCTTCTCCCGTAAGACTTACAGTTTTTGATTAAAAAAAACCTTTAGAATTAAAAAAAAAACTGCATTTTTGATTTTCTTAAGCGGAGATCTATAAAACTGGTCAATCAACTTTAGTTCGCAATATTTAGTTCACACAGCATTAAAACAATAAAAATCGTTGTTAATTTGCGAGTGAAACAAAGCACACTGTGTGCTTGTGTGTCTCAAGTTAAGGATCTTGACTTCAAACCGCATCTAACAGTATTTGGATAACGTTCTCTAATCAATTTGCTTGAGTTTGCTACAACACAACGCTGCTTCTCATCCAGTTTTTGTTTGCTAGTGCAATGTTTTATAACCCGCTTTCAAGATTTCTTTTACCTCTGTTAAAAAAAAGTTTGATATATAACCCTCGTTAGATAAACGAAACCATTCTTATAGGGTCAAAAACACAAAATTGATATGTTAGAATTTTTCACCAAGTTTTCTATTTACACGCACAAAGCACGAATTTTTTTTCTTCAAAATACCTATCCTAATTTTTAGATTCAAATTTCGCCAAAATAAAATTGAAAATGTTGCTTGTTTTCAAGCGGGTTTCACTCACGTTTTTATTGCGTTTGTTGTATAATATTCATCATAAAATATCTGTACAACACAGTATGTAGCAAAAACTGCTTACCTTTTCACCCTTCAAAAACAATCATTCGCGCAAACATGTTTTGCAATAATTAATATTCTAAACGCAGAGTACACAACGTGCTCATTTTTGCAAAAAAACAAAACAAATAGTTAATCAAGACCACTCAAAACTTTATTTCAACATTTAAGATTAATATTTTAATTTTTCAAACTTTTTAATGAAATTAAAACGTGTAATGAGACACCGATGCTGAAAGTATTTGTTTGTCGCTTTGTCACATTTCGAATGAACCACCTGTAGAACAGTGACTTTTTGTGTGAACAAAATCCCATTTCATTGTGTTACCATCTCATTTTCCCTTTTCAGCCGCAAAAAAACAGAGAGAATGTTGAGTACAGGCATTTCTAGAATTGTTAGTATCAAAAATGATGCGTTTCTCATCTGTATGTATGTCTTGTGTTACATTTCAAGATGCAAGTTTTGAGCCAAATTGGATCAATACCAGTGTAAAGAATTATTTAATCATCTGTGTTTGCCCGTCTGAGCAGTTAGGGTAAAAAGCCAAGTGGTCTTCTCAACAAAAAAGTACTAATTTGTTGTCGAACATAAAGCACTAAATGTGTTTACCCAAATGAAGGTTGGTGGCCAAAGATAATGGCTCGCAATTAAACGAGTTGGTTGGGAAAAATGAACGGTCTGGTTAGTATTCAAAGAGCAAAAACATACATTTCTTTTTTAGTGCAATCTAAATTAAAATTCATTTTGTTAGCCATTGAGAGTGTCTAAAATATTTTTCTCTTTCGGTTTAATTAAACGGAAACATGATAGATATAAAACAATTTAGAAAAGAATTAAATTTAAAATGAGTTAATTTTAACACCAGTAAGAAAATACTGCAGTTGTGAAAATAATTTTGCGTTTATTATAGAGATTCCGGGACTGTTTTTTATTAGCAAGACAAATAAAAAATTACGCTTTATTTGTCATGTCATGTCCCAGCACAGTGCATATTTATAATAATGGAAAAAATTGCGCTGAAATGAATTTCCTGGTTTGAATCTGAATCGTCACACAGGACTTGATGAAATTCTTACTCCATGAAAGAAGTTCATCCTCTAATTAGAGAATTTGTAACTTGTTTTACTCGTATCTATAATTCAGTACCACAGTCTTAGACTCTTAGATTTTCTTTCGTTGTTCGAATAAACTAAAAATTTTAAATGATGATTAACTTTCGACGAGGTAACAGTTCATTTAAAGCAAAACTCATTTTATTAAAAATTTTATCGCAAGCGTTCGGATTGAAGTTGAATTTCATATCTTTTGGAAAGCATTGATGTTATAAAAGGCAGAAAGGAGAGTCCAGGATCACACGGTCCGTTCATAATCTGAAGATACACTTTGGCTATATTATGTGTGTACATTTGTATGGAAAATATCCAGTATAGGCCGAAAGGATTCGGAGTGGAAATTATAAAATCAATACTGGAGCTATAATCGGTCTTCAGGACACGATAAGTGAAGTTTTATTTTATGAGTCAGCTTAACTTGACGTAAAAATTCGTGATTTTCAAGCTCCTTTTATGAACACTCGACTTTGTTGCGCCTCTTGAAAGATAAAAGATTTTGGAGTTTTAACGTCACAAGATTTCAAACACTTTTTTTATTTTTGATGCACATGTTTGCAAAAAATGCCTTGCATTTTCCTATTAATAGATAATCCAGGCAATGTATTTAACAGGACATTTAAGTCAGAATAGCCTGAAATTGAATCTGTCAACTGAAACGACATGTTATGTGGTGATATTTTAAAGAAAATATTAACTTTTTTACAACATAAAGGCAAAAATGATCAATGACATCACGTTAACATCTGCAATAACTAGTTTTGTCGAAATTAGCAAAGTGTTAAAAAATGTTAAAAGTTTAGCTTGATACAAAGTTATTCTATATGAAATGAAGTAAACATTTTTTTTATATTATAAATTAATTGAAAACGAAAACACATGACTTGATTTACGCAATTAAGTACGCACTTTGAAACTATAGCAATGTTAATCAAAGTTACAAGTGCCACAAAGTAACGCTTAATTGCTTCGGGCTGTTTGGTCAATTCAGATAGAAGAAAAGTCATTACGTGGGCATAAAATAATTGTCTAAAGGTTAATTAAGGAAACAGATTATAAACTTTTTTTGTTAAACTACTTATTCAGATTTAGGAATAATTTCAAGAGTGGTAATTTATATCATTTTTAAGCTAAAAACAAGTTTGTACTTATATTCAGAGCAAAATTGTGAATGGCGAAAAAAAATATAACGATTTACACACACTCTAAAATTAATTATTTATTAACTAATAAAGTTTATTTTGTACTCAATGTTAAAGAGTGCTTTTATCAACTAATTTCAGTAGATAAAGTAATCTTTTATCGTCTATTGAAATAAAGTAGTTTTTATCTACTGTTTACATTCCATTTTGACTAAGAAATTCTGCTAGGTGAGTACAAAATAAAACGAGATATTATACACGACGATAAAGATTGTTTCTCGAGTTATATAACAAATAATAACTATTATTGAATTTCTTCAAAAGTAGAAAGCGATTTCTATGTAATAATATCTGTTTGCATACCATTTCATGAAAGCACTTGAAAGCTCCAATCGAACATAATTGCATATCAGTTTCACTACATGGATTTACATTTAAAAATATTTTGTTATGATATTTTCATTATAACAAAATAGTATATATCCGATATTAATAAGAGGATTTTTTGATTAGGTTAATACATTTTTTTTTCAATATTTTTCAGTTCAGCAAACTTTTCGGAGTATTGTTAATTTGTTATCGTAATCTTTTAATAATTAGAGCGATTTTTGATCCGCTTACCGACAGCACAAGTTGAATTTAATTACAGAAAAAAATCGAGATGGAAATAATTGCAAAACAACATCGAAATTCAAGAGAAACATTTTCTCAAATAAATACCATCAATTTAAACTTTAAAGTTACGAAACCAGACGTCGTATTTTATTTATTCATATAAACATTACAATCCTAATTTAAAACTTAAAATTGCGTATATTTCTGTTCTGTTCAATGTAAAGTCAATATTTATGATATTTTGCATTCATTGTCAGAACAACAGGTTTTTTTATGTTACCGTTTATTTCTGAAACACAGAGTAATTAAAAGTTTGCATGAAAAAACATGTTATCGCCCACGCATTTCAGGAGTATTTTCAAGTAGTGATAAAAATTGTGATTTTTCCAGTAGACATTCACGTATGTAACTCTAGCCGAAAATTTTACCCAGTATCATCTTACTTCTCGTCCCTTTCAAGTTGACCATCGTCACCCTTTCTAACAATGCTTTTAGATAGTCCAAGTTAAACATAAACACAGACTCTCAAGATTAGGGAAACTAAAAGGACAGCAATCCTAAAGCAATCATTGTCCAGTCTAATCGCATTTTGCGGGTTGAAAGGAGTTAATTAGCGTTTGATTTTTGTGTCGAGTGCACGAGAACCGAAGCAAATTATCTTTCAAGGCTGAACTGAGAGGATAATAAGCGGTTTTTGTCCGTCAATGTGACGAGCATTAAGGCAATTTACCTTCTTTTTGCATATAAACCAGCCTTTTATAGCGTACTATTTGAAAAATGGCCGCAAAGAATAGCGAAACGGCCGATTTATAACCGTTATAAAAGCACAAACACTTCTCTTTACGGACTTATTATTTTATATTTTTCCATCAAAGTCGATTGTCCATTACGAAATAGATTTCATATCATCTGTCACGGGCTTGATTGATTTATTTTTAAAAGACTCGCTTCGGAAACGGCGGAACTTCCGGAAGTATTTAATCGGATTATTTCCAAAAAACAACTTTGCAGTAGCGCGTCAAACCGAATTATGGATACAATTCTTGATATAAATAGACTCACCTGTCCTGATTGAGTTTGGGATTTTGGTCACGTGTGTTTACAAAATTTGCAACTAAATAGAAGTTTCACGACGCGACGCTCGATGACGACTGAATGGATCAGGATGGATGCTGGAATCAAGAGCGTCAGTGCGTGGAAATTTCAAAGTGTCACACTATTTGTAATTATGTGAAGAGCGCTTGCTCAGGTAAAAACACGCATTTTACCATTAATAATTCATTGCAATTCCACAATAAACTACTTTCAACTCACATTGAAATTAAAATTTTGCACAAAAAAATTCATGAAGTGGGCCCAACTCCACTGCATTTGCATATTTACATACGCTGGGGTTATATATTTATTTAGGTCAGATGTCTAATCATGTTTATTAATCTTGGACGTGAACCGGATCGATATCTTTATTAAAACTATTTTAAGAATTGCACCCGGTCATCACATTTCTCCACAGCATTTAATTAAAATATGTAAGTGGTTATAAACGCAACGACCAACAAAAAATAAATTTTGGTGTGCACTTTTTATGCTTATTGTAGGACCACAGCGAACAATACAAAATTACTGCAGTTCAACTCGCTGATTGCTGAAAATTCTCGATTGACTCGCTTTATTATCCCCGTCCGAAATTACTCAGCATTTCGCAAAATAATTCAATAAAAGCCGTCGTAAGTTATAAGCCGGCGTTATTTATCTAAAGAAAAACTTTAAAGAAGTGTTATTTTGAAACTTTTATTCGTAGCCGAGTTTAATCTCGTGTCGTAAAAGCGCAAAGGATAAAATAACTTGCCGCATTGTGGTAGGTTAGTACTTTTATTTCTGGTAATATCAAATATTTGTTATTTCAAAAAACATTTACAAGCAGTTTCTTGCTAAGTCGCGTGACGATTCTAAAATAACAATCTGCAAATGTTGCATAAATTAAATGCTATTTTCAGAGCTGAAATGTAAACATAATACAAGTAGAATTCTGATAAGTTTCTACTTTTTTTTCGTTCTATTTCTTACTTGTTTACTTATTTCTATGTAGTTGGAGGAATGGTGGAGGCGCCGGGTGCAAATATCGTGTATCTTTCATTTTCAAAAATTATGCTTCAATAATAGGGTGGGCCAAAAAAACTATTTTTTTTTATTTCGAAGTTGTAATAACGCGGAAAAGTTGCGAATTATACATACAGGTGAATATAAAGTATGGAACCAAGCGGTTTTATTTTTAATCATTTGCCTCCAGAAAATAATAATTAATATAAATTAAAGTAACATAAAAAATGTGATCGTATTTTCAGAACGAAATTTTTTGTTTTTGAGTTATGCGATTTTTTTTGTCAAAATTGCAATTTGTGAAAAAAATTTTTTGAAAAAATTAAATATATAGCAGATAGTTGTAATCCTTAGAGTATAGCTTTTATGAGAAAATTATTTTATAGTGGGTTTCCATTTAAAAAAATTAAAAATTTTGTAGAACTCAAAAACAAAAAGAAATTTCGAAAAAAATTATTCTTGTTAAAACATCACATTTTTATAGTACTTTATCACTCATCAATTAGTTTTTTTTTTAAATAAATAGTTTAAGCAAAAAATGTTTGGTTCTAAACTTTTTATTCACTTGGTATGTATTGACAAAAAAAAAATCGGTTGTTATCTTCCGGTCGCGCATAGGCCGTAAATTTTGACAAAATATTAAAAAAAATACTTATTGTTTTTTTAAATTTCTTAATTAGATGTTTTCTAAAACACAATGTTCTTATGTTCAAAAATAAAAAAACTGTAACTATGTATTAAAAAAAAGTATATTAAAGTACACAAAAAGAACTCGTTAAAATGTGAAATTTTCAATATTTTGCCAAATTTTGAAGCTTATGCGCGACCAGAAGATATCAACTGATCTAAACCAAATTAAAACACAATGTTTTTAGGCTTTATTTTTACGAAAACATCTAATTAAAAAATTTAGAAAAATTATGTTTTTTTCATATTTTGTTAAACTTTAGGGCCTATGCGCAACCGGAAGATGTCAACTGATTTTGATAGTTTTTTTTTTCTTTTTTTTTGTATGTATAATTCGCAACTTTTCCGCGCACAACTTCGAAATAAAAAAATGAGTTTTTTCGGCCCACCCTATTCAATAAATTAGAAAAACTCATTGTAACATTGTAATTTCTAAATGCGGGAATCTAGGCGTTAGAATCATTATAAGTGACATTGGGATTAACTACGAAATATTTTGTGTAATTAGTAGTAATTAGCTAAATCTATTTCCGCTACCGTGATTAGCGTTTCTCCGAAATCCGTCTTTTGTGCTCCTGAGCTTGAATCAAAATTTAATAATCCTTTAATTATCTACAGACGTTGATTATCGTCGAATGAACACAGTATTTGTTTAAAGCGTAGCGTCATTGTTACAGCCACACCATGTAAATTAAGCAATTTCACCCAAAAAAAAATTCCGATTCTATCAGCCGAAATTTAATATTAGGTAATATCCTTCAGGAATCTTGCCCGTTTCATCAACAGAAACACTAATTAAAATGCGGAAATCAAAACCGTTTTTCTGGAAATTCGATTCAAAAAAAAATTGCTTATAACCCAGAAAATAAATTAAATAATTAGCAATCAAGCCAGTGAATTTTAACCTTATTAGCAATTTTAATGAAGTGTCTGATGCAGAAAATCCGCCGTCGGGATCGCGAGATCATGATTGTTTCAACCAAGTAGATGCACATTCAACCTGGGCTTATAATGACAATCTTTTGAAAAAAACACAAACGAGAGAAGTTTAATTCGCTTCTCTTTAATCTCAACCGGAAATTGTTTAAGTAAGTTCCGCTTGTAAAACACCGGTCTAAATAAAGAAAGGAAATTTGTATTTGGCTTAATATTCATTGAACGGCGAAAATGGACCATAAACAAATTTAATACAACAGGGACTAAAATATGAAATAAGACGATTTTAATGAATCATAATAGTCGCGCTGGAAGGAAATGTGTAGTTAATTTATGCAGACTGCAGGCTTTAAAGACTTTAATATTACCAAGCGCCGCGCAGCAACTGTTTTACTCGTGTAGCAGCAGTTGTACTAAATTCACCTTCATTTTTGTTCCTTATCTCTGTTAATAATTTAAGATTGTGTCCTCATACGGCATTCCTAACTTGTATGTACGTCGGCAAAAACTTTAATTATTTTTGAAACGTGTCGTTGGAGCAGATACTTAATTAAAGCCGAAACAAATGAAAAAATTATGAGCGTTTCACATGACTTGATAAGTTAAGCAAATTTGTGCTTATACGTGCATACATGGAGGTTTATTTGCTTTGGTAATTAAATAAATTTTAAATTAAGGACGGAACGATCAAATCCTCGAGAATTTTATCGCTACGTGAGTTCTAATTAGATAAAGAGATTAATTTTTTATCGGGGGTTTTAAAGTGATCGAATTTTTATTTATACCGCTTGCAAAGACTCAAGTGGCGCCAACTACACGCAGCCCCTGAAACGAATGGTAACAACCCTTAAAATTTTTAATTTCTAATTAATTTGAGGTAGTAGAAAAGAATACGCATTTGGCAATAGTATATTACATCCCAACCTGTTTATTGCCTGAGAGGTGTAGCATCAATGAAAATAATAATTGCGAGGCTACTAAAATTTTCTCTACTGGGTTTATGTAGTTTTTTTTTTCACTACTAGCACATTTATTACCCAGAAACACATTTTTTTTTACTTTTGCATCTATTAAAGGAATTGTCTAATTTCACAATATGAAATATTTGTTAAAATACCAATAAAACTGCGAATAAAAAAGAAAGTGTTAAAATTTGCCCTGTTACTAGTAGTATTTCAACATGAAATAAACTTATTTGTTGTTTTTACAGTTTTGACAAAAAAGAATTAGAGATTCTGATGTTTCTTAATGTTTAAGTATTTTTTTGCACTAATTTCATAATGAAAATAATTATTGTAAACTAGTGGAAAAAACTTCTATTAAGTACTTCAGATTTATATACTAAATAATTACAATTATTGATAAAAATATTTTCGTAGAATTTCCGCTTCTTGGGACATTTCAGCGACATTTCTGAGCGGTTCTTGGCTTTCTTCCCGATCATGTTTTGCTAATCTGTCATAAATTTCATCATTTACTTCAAAATCGTTGGGTTTCCTCGGTAGTATGTGTATATGGACGTGCTAAAAATCGATTACAATATTGTCTGAATGAAACGAAACGACTTACTGGTATTGTTTGACCCGCGTGTTTTCCATCTTGTACACAAAGGGTTGAAGAACTGGCAGAATATTCATTTTCGACCGCTTTCTGTACTTTGACTGCTGTTAAAAATAAGTCAGTTACTTCCTCTGCTGTTAAATCCTCCAATCGTTTGCAACAACGCATCGTTGAAATCAAGACATCTAGATATTAGGTAGAAATTAAGACAAAAAATTAATTACATACGTCCAGGAACAACACATCTGATGTTTGTGAAGGCATAACAGTGCCTCGTCCTGTAAAAAACCGTACTCGCTGGAATAATTTTATGAGCAAATGAGAAAGTTTCTTCATCATTGATTGGTATTTTCTCGCCCCCAATCACTTGAAGTTGGTAAATGTCGCTACGTCGGTGTTGAAAAACAGGCATTTCTGTCCTAACTTTCTGAATTAAGTTTGAATCAATTTCTGCAATTGCTATGCTTTGATTTGTTTCATGCCCTTCGCGATATTTTGGGCATTCTGCAATAATTTTTCCTTGGGGGTCTACAATCTATTTTTTGGGTTGGAATTTTTTGAGACGATTAATCAGCTTACTAGGGCTTGTCCATATGAGGTTCTTTTCTCGTTGTGTTTGCCATACTGGGCCGCTGCTATAACATAGCACTGGGTTTCAATAGCTCTAGATCTTAGTAGAGTTTCCCAATGGAGAATTCCTGTGGCTTTTGTAAATGCGGAAGGGTATGTTAAAATACTAGCACCTTGTTTGCGTTGGATAATGCTCAATTCAGGAAATCGCAAGTCGTAACACTATGAGTATTTTTAAATAATTTGTAAGATTATTGCCCAAATACGTACTATAGCTAAGGCCAAAGGTCCTGCTGGTGTCATAACCGGAGGTACAAGTTGTCGCCCAGCCTCATTTAAGTCTGATTCTCTCAAATTAACATTCAACTCTGGAATGCTAACATCAAATAAATGTAACTTTTTGTATACACCATTTATTTCGCCCTCGTCATCAATCAATACATGTGTATTAAAAATTTGGTGCTTCCAGTGAATAATAATTAGTATGAATCAAAATTGCTTTATTTTTTTACCTCATTATTCTCATTCTTAACCAATTCATGAAAACCACCCACTGACAACCAAACTTTCTTAGTTTTTGCTAAATTTCTGTACTCATTCATTAACGTTCCATTCAATGGTTCCGCAAAGGCTTTGGCTTCATTTTTGTTAGTTGCAATATAGTCGGACGCTTCGGGTAAAAATACAATCTATAAAAGTATTAAATAGGGTTGTTATCAGGAAAAATAAACATACCCTGGCTTGTTTTTGAGCCGCTTCAGACACCAGTTGTTTAACGATTTTCAAGTTGTTCTCTTTATTGTTTGTTGCTGTAAATTGGCAGATTGCAACACTACATTTCGGGGCACTCATTCTATAATTTTGGTAAAGTGTGACACGACACAATTTAATTAAATTGGTTTTGAAAATGATTGACATAACCGTATTGTCGTTTGTGAGGTTATATCAAATGTCAGATTGACAGTTTGACATGCGCTTTATAGATTTCTGTAAAATGTAAAATTTACAAAAACTCACACACCAAAAATAATTATAATTAATAATTATTTAAAAGGTGTTTTATTTGCACTGTACTTTTGTACTATTTATTTTATTACACCAATCAATAAAAAAATATTATGTATATTTGATTGCCTAAATCAACATTTAATATTAAATAATTTTATTTACTACCTTGAATTATTTATTATTGTGTAGAAAAACGCTTCTCTTGTGTAACAAAAGAATTTAATAATAATAAAAATCAACCTTGAACCTCTATTAAGGCAACAAGATATTTATTGCTAACTCCATACGGTCACAAAGATATAATTATGAACACTCATACCATGTTACTTACTTATTTACATGATAAATTACACATTAAAAATAGTACGATTGAATAATTGTCTTCACTCTTCAATATTTATAAATTTGATTATCCAAATTCTCATTCACAACTTGTTGATCAATCCAATCAACGAATTGGGCCACACTGACATATACTCCAGGACTGTCCGTGGTACCACAAACCAGCCCCCAGGCAACAATGCCAAACTGCTCGTATCTCTCCTCCTCCCCTTGTATTCCACACACAAGGGGACTTCCCCCATCCCCCTTACACGTGTCTTTCTCCTTTCCCCCGGCGCACATGAAGCTCGAATGCAAGCGAAACAAGGGCCCCAAATGCGCCCTCCGTAAGGCTGTTTCACACCTACTATTCGGCACAATTGGAAACACGGCTTTATTCAAAACCGTCTGATGTTTGTCACTTTTATGCGATGTCTTCCCCCAACCACTAACGACACATTCCTCCTGTAACGGTTGTGAATTGTGGGGAGGCAAACACACAATACCCACATTTTCGGTTAATTGGAAATCTCGGTCGAGAATTATCAACGCGATATCGTTGATGAGCGAATAAGGGTCGTATCGGGGGTGAATTATAATCTGAAATTTTACATTTAAATTGCTTCGAGAAAAGTTGAATCGAAATACCTTTTTGGCTAAACGGTCTTGATGTTTTAAGGGCTCTTTCCGACTGTTCCAGTCCCACTCACCAGCTCGTATTTTATAAAAACCATCCCGTTGAACACAATGGGCGGCAGTTAGAGCCACTTTGGGGTGAATTAAAGAGGCGCCACAGCGATAAGTTTTGCCGTTAAGAACGCCCAACATCCAGGGAAACTCTGCAAAATTTGCGGGGTTTTCAAGGCCCAAAATGCGGTTTCTTATCGTTCCCTCGGAAATTACACTTTCGGTTCTTCGCATGCCGCATTTTATCTTGCAACAGACGTCAAAATAGCTCTTGCAACCGCTTCTGCAAGTGAAACAAAACAAATTAATCTAATCAAATAAACTTCTTCTATAATTTCTTGTGACTTACCTGAACCCTACCAAATCGTAATCCTCGGTCGAAGAATTTTCGTCGCTGCATTTCCAGAAAGGGACACAAACGCAGTTTTTACATAAACTGTTTTCAATGAATAAAACAATGAGGAAAATTTTGGGCAACGACATGTTTACAGGCCGGGTTTTTGTTGCTAACTGGTTATATGTGGAAATTCCAGTCTCAGGTAAAAACAACCCCCCCAGTGAGGAGAGAGTTGGGGTGAAATAAAACTCATTTTTGCGGACATTTCTTGGAAATTATACAACAAGTACAATCCATTCTTAAAGTAAACTAAACGTAGAAATTATTAACAGATTAATAAAATATATACAAATATAAATTTCATACATAAAAAATGAGTACTTGTACATAAAATATATTGTAAAAATAATGGTAAACACACTTAGTTGTATCACAAATAATAAATGTGTTTGTGGATTAAATAAACTAAAACAACAAATGCAATTTAAAGACTTGTACATTGAAGGACACAATTAATGTTACATTTAATTAGGTAACTATTGAATTGGATTTTTACATTATTACTTCCTTAGGCAGTCACAATTGATATGAGACAATTGGTGTTTCAGGGTTATGGTCCCTCAATTCTAAAGGTACCAATGACAAGACACACCCACAAATTATACAATCAAAAATTATTTTACAATATACAGGATACGTATGGCTGATGTAACATACTTCTAAGAGGTGCCAGTCTGTCTTACTATCACAGAACGTGTATAATACTTTATAAAAATAATTCAAAACATAACAAAAAATCTAGTTTTTTTATTACTCCAAGGTGGCGTTAATCACAAATTAAAAAGGATACCGGGTTATGCTCTTATTTACACGTAAATATACATATAAATGGTGTTAATTTGGGACCTTCTGAGTTGTGATATGCTCAAGTCGAGCTTTTTCGCTCGGTACTCGCTTGTCGTAGCAACGATCTGCCGCTGTCCAGACTTTGTCTATGCAAATTCAAACGGGGATTTTCTTGTACTAATTCAGGATCGGAATTGTGTAAATGTAAAGCTTTGCAGAGGCCATGACGCAGACTCGTGGAAATTTTCGACAATGAGCCGGTCTGTCAGGGCAAAATTTCCACATAGTTCTCCGGTATTAGCCCAGTTTTCCCGTTCAAAGTCCCCTCCAACCAACCTGGCTCTTGAGAACTCTTCACTGCGAAATCAATCATAAAACCACCAATTCCCACTATCCAGCACTTACCGTTTGTTATAATTTGATTCGGTTCAAAAGACAACTCGCCGTCATGTTCGCCCAAACACGCATACAATGTTCGCACCCGCCTGAGGGACAAAATAAAACGCGTCACAACGATAAAATTTTTATTCAAGACATGCAGTACAAAGAAGAACCCATGCAATTAACACAAACACAAAGTAAATTAATTGAATTAAAAATCTTCGGCCTACGGTTTGTTTTTCCTAAGAAAAACACTCTTCAAGTGCGGTCTGTACAAAAGAGAAAAACAAAGGAAATTAGCGGAACATGCCACAAACGTGCTTAGCTAAAAGCCCACACCAACAGATCTTACCGAACCCGGGTCAAAGAAGGACTAGATCTCCCAGAAGCTGTTAGATAATTAGTTTCTTTACGCAGTTGGGTGCTGATGGAAAAACCAGGAAGAAAGTAGAGTGTTAGTACCCCAAGCCAAAAAATAGTAAAACCGTCAAGAATTGCATACTTACACGTCACCTGGTGACCTGTAGCCTTTAGGGTAAGCCATGTAGATGCTCGACCTTTCGCTCTTTTTAGGCGTCGCGACGTAATTATTGCCGTCGCGGGACGTCGAAGACACTGATTCGTTCGAACTGCTGGTACTGTTAGGTACTGAAACTAAACACAAATAATGCAGAAACCAAACTAACACACCGGTTAATAACAAGCAAACTAAGCAAAATCGGGGTAAAAATATGCAAATTTTTATCCCGACTTTCAATCCTTTAAAAAGCGATTGCTTACTAATGCGGTTGAAAGGTCTGAAGTACGTGGGACTGTGACTAGGTAAATTTGGAATATTACTTTCAGACTGAGAAGACACTGTTGGTATGAACCGTTGCATTGTTTTTTGATGTAATATGGGTTGGCAATTAGGTCCGATGTGTTCACTCCGACTCATTTGAGGGTAACCACCGTTGGCTGGTTCGTGAACACTGTACAAACTTGAACACATGCTCGTGGTGAGAGGTTCCTCGTAATAAGCCTTCACAGTCTAAAACAAAAATTTAAACACTCAAATTACGCCAAAATGAATCACTTACACAAGTCATTTGTGGTCGGTAATTCGGCGAAACGTGATTGGAATGATTCGAATTGTAGGTTCGCGCGTACACAACTTCGGTACCGTCGCCAGCACCGAAATTTGGATGGTCGGAAATATGTTTGTAATTGTTAGTTGAAGGTAAAGCGTTTCGAGGTGAAGTGTTCTCGCTTGGGAGAGTTTTATCAGGCTCACTATTGAAAATTTTGTCGTAATTTTCGATCAAAATTTCAACGACGATGTTATAAAATTTCAGATCCATGATTGAGGCTACTGTTTCTTCCTCTGGCCGAAGCAAAGTCGGACCGAAACAAACACCTAAATTGCTCACAGTCATCAAATTTTTATCAGATTTTGCGGAAACACTACAAAAGCAATAGTTAGATTTTCGTTTCAAACATATTTAACTTCAATTACTTTGTTAAATGTTTAATTAGGATTTTTATTACTTCAAAGTTGGTTTTTGGTAACCTATGGATTAGAGTGTGCACGTCGTGTATCCTCATTTGGCGAGTCTCATTTTCTAGTAAAAAAATTGTAACGTGTTATTAACAACAACAAAAACAACTTACTAACTGCCGCTATAAATCCGTTATGGTATTTGTAAGTCATGAGTGGTTCCGGAAGGTTCCGTAAGTAACTTTTCAAAGCACTCGTTATGGTTTTAGTTTCCCATTCTTGGGGATCATCGAGGGATAATTTATCACATTTCCTCCGATCCAAACCCATGTTTAGCAATTTGTTTACTTTTGAAGTTACACCGACAACGCGATAAATGCCTTGCTCTTCTAAACCACGACTTTCCAGAACTTCTATACACTTTTTCACAAACTGAATTCCTAAATCGTCTAAGAGTCTTTCTTCCGAATTTTGCGCTTTGTTTACACCTGGAGTCGTATAAGTCTGAAAAATTTGTTATAAAAATGTTTCATAGAATTACAAGAGTGTGAAATACCGGTTCTTTGCCATCCATAATATCCAACCAAGCTTTCCTGTCTTGTTCCGACAGTGCCTGAAAAGTTAGAATAACACCAGGTTTTGAATTAAATTGAATATCAAAACAGAATCTCTTGTCTATGGAATCAGACATTCGCCTAACACAAGACGTCAAAACCATAGTTTCAGGTGGCGAAATCTTCAAAATAAAGCATCAGAAATGAAACACAACAACTTTCCAAACTTACCGATTTGGTTGTTAGCTGATTATAAGGTAACATAGTAAACTCTTTAGTTTCTTTGTCATATGTGCAAAAATGTTTGGTCCATGTGGTACCAAAAGCCTCTATAAAAAGCAATCAGTTATAACTGCGTTTTACAAAACCTTGAAACCTACTTTTCTCCAAAAGGAAGAGGTAACCCTCTCTACAACCTTTATTTTTTTTGACTGGTTTTTCAGAGTGTTGAACGTCGGCCATTCGTTTACGCAATTTGTTGCTGTAGTCATCAAAATTCGCGCGTGTTTTTTGTATTTTATGTTGCAAGTCGATCGTATAGGGACGAAAATCCTTGGCTACTTCATGTCCCTGATGATAGAAAGTAAGCCATCCGAAAAGGAACGTCAAAAGTGTCTCTACAAACTCGAACTTTTTTCGTTCATGTACTTCTTGAATCAGATACACATATTCCATACTGGCCGTGAAGAAATGGCGTTCTGCCATATCCACAGAAGCGTCGGCCTGCAAACAAAAATCCTGTTGAAATTTCACATATCGATCGTCCCTTTGTAATTGAATAAAACACGAAGATCCCCCCTGTATCCCTTGTTATATTTTGGACACCTACGCATTGTCGATGCTAATTTATTTAAGACATTCTGAGGGTTTTACGAGACACCCGAATGAAAAAAAAAACACATTTCACTAAATGGAAAAAAATGCAAGTCCTTGATGTCACTCGGAAAATTCAAAAACGTGATTTGATAGAAAATGTCAATTTGGAACTGCCTTACATTGAGGCATTAGTGGGTGAAGGCGCAAACGCACGCTGATATGACGTCATTTAATCGATACGCACCCACGCAAATTACGTCATCGTTTACGATACAACCCCCGCGGAATCTCTCAATGGGATGGCCGATTGATTCATGGACGGATATGACAGGATTAAGATAAGGAGACGAAGGACCGCGGATGACTCATGGAGCCATTACTGAATTTGTTTTAAGGAAAATGCAAAACCCCAGAAATGAATAAAAAAAACAACGTTATTTTGCAAACAGAAATACAAAAAAAATGGAATAAGAATTTTTTTGGTTTCAGAAAAAAAGAAATATCGTTTTTTAATTTTAGTGACGGACTTTCTTCACAATTTATTTCCAAATGTGAAAATAAGAATTATTTTTATTTTTTACAGCCGCCTAAAATTATTCCACATAAATGTCTTAAACCGTCACAAAATTCTCTAGAAAAAAAAATTAAAATTTTCGTTTTTTAATTTATAAAATGATATAAAGCGGCAAAATAGAAAAAATAGTATAAAGCACTTGTTGCAGAAGGTTCTTCAAGCACTCATTTGTTCCTCAACTCGCCGCTACGCGGCTCGTTTCAAAATTTCAAATTTGTGCTTCAATAGATACCTTCTGCAACTTGTAATTTAATATACTATTATGGAGTTTTTTTTTTTTTTTGTTTATGAGTTCTCTAGAACATATTTTAGAGCGAAATTAAATCCTATTAAATAATTGGGAATTTTAAGACTTTAAATTGTGAAATAAAGCATTTTAAAAGAGAAATTTGTCTCAGTACTACTTTTAAGCGCACAATGTCTGTTGATAATTTTTGTCCGCAAACGTCACAAAAGTGGCCACTTTTATAATCAAATGTCACAAGTTTCACCTTTCAGCCATGGAGTAAAAATTCTATTTTTGAACCTAAGCATTTTTACTTCTGCCATGACATTACTTCCGAATAAAAATTAATTTGACAAACGTCACTTCAAAACATCAAATAAAAATTTTCCAAAATGTTGATTTAGTCTATATTGTCTACTTGTAGATAAAACGTTGTATTGCATACGGGCCTTACAAATAAATAACTATTAATTTCGGATTGTACCACTTTGTGTGACTTTACAATCCAAAAATCAATCAATGTTTTTGCACATTTACATCATTAAGAAGTTTCAAACAATTATATGATAAAAACTCCACGGAAAACTAATATCATGATTATGTTTTGGTGTCGCGGCACGACCCTATCCCCGTGTTAGATTAAGTGTGATTGTATTGACTCTCGAGGTTAGTAAAATTCTCCGATAAACCAAAGTCGACCCTTCTTTTGTCACTTTGTTGTTCAATGATGTGCAGAATAAACAAAAATCCAATTACACTCATGTCAGGTCGTCGAACTTTCTGTAAAAACGTATCATTCCGGAAGATAACAAAGTCTGGACTTTTATTCGAAATGACTTCAAAGAAGAATTTTTTTGTCCTAAACCTCCCACACGCTAAAAGAACATTCTGCAAACCATTCCCTTTTGGTTTCAATGTTGAGCTAATGAACGTAAAAATAACCACTTCCGTTGGCGATGGGAAGTTGACTAATTTTATATTTTTTGATGTACTTGCAAATATTCCAAGGCCGTTAAAATTCATATCATAAATCCGCAGTATGTTTCGTGTCATTATTAAAAATATTAAAAGCAAACAAACCTCTTGAAGCGAGTTTGGTTTTTTCGTCGTGAGATTTAAATATCTCTCTTGGCACTGACAGAATTTAGCGGTCTGCTTCTCGAATTTTTTCTTTTCGTTTTTCACTCCGCCGATGTATTTCTTGCGAAAGTCTTCTAGGGGTTTCACCACGTGCGAGTAGACATTCTCTAGCTGAAAATAGACAGAAAATGAACGTTTTGATGTAACGTTGAGATAACATCTCAATCATCCGTGACGCCCACAAGTCATGCAAGCATTGAATTTACATAAATGGTGCAAGAAGTTTTTACAAAGCAAGGTTGAAAAAAATATAGGTTGCGGAACCGATTGTTTACGAGAATGTTAAAAATGACTAAGCAAACCGCATTTTTCACGACCTGAATTTTTCCGCGCTACTTAATCAAACACGGTGGTTCTTTCATAAACCCATTGTCATAATTATTATGGTAAATACATACACGGCATGCTTGTAAACAACAAATTACAGTAACAAATGAGCACACTAATAATTTATTATTAATCACTATTGATTGATATTTTTCCCACTAAAGCAATTCGTTCTGAGCTCTTTGCAACCTTTTGTGTTCTACATAAAACAAATTACAAATCATCCCGGGTAGCGTAACGAAATTTTCTTTGCAATACCTAGGCTGGTATTTATAGAAGTTTTTAACGTTCCGCTATGTTTTACCTTGGGGTGGTCTTGCACTGAAAACCTTGTAATAACTTAAATTCTGGGGGTTTTCTTTTATGTTTATGCTTGGCATTTTATGCCCAAAGGGTTCACTAAATTGAATTTTGAAAACTTTATTTCGTCTTGATAAAAATATACACTGCTTATTATTTACAGTTGAATAACAAAAAATACAATGTCGAAAATTTCTTTTTGTTTTTCAATAATTTCCCTTCATTTGATGCGTCTGAGCATATGCTTTTTCTTCCATTCGCTCTTATTTCTAGAGGCTCTTATTACCCGTCGCAGTGAGATTACCCTAGGGAACATTCTCCTCGATACACTCATGACTTTTCTGTGCAAGTCCAAGAAGTCACTCTGCAAAAACCGGCCAGTAAATGCCAATGATGTGGCCAATACGCAATTCAATCAACTCCCCTCATTCCTCATTTATCATCAAACTAAATTTGTTTTGACATATAAACATGTTTGAGGCATCCCATATGGACGACCAATCTAGTGAATGTTAAGCTAGCTAATTCCTTGACATTTACAATTAGCCCACACCTCACGAAAAGGTGTTTTATGCAGAATATTCCCCCCGTTCACTGACACTAAAAACTTTCAATTGATCGAATTAGAAATTAAAAACGCTTTTTTCCCTCCAAAACATGTTCCATTAGAACGACAGGTCCGATCACTTTCGCTGAATTTTTAAGCCGATGCATAAAATCAGAAAAAGAAAGTCGTTATTATGCAAACTGGTGGCATTTTTAAAAAAAACGTCATTTGTGTCATTCAACTTGTAATACTGTAGTAATTTACGTCACTAATGTGCTTGTATTATAGTTCCTAATCCAACATCTGGGCATCACTCAAATCGAAAATAGAATCATTTTTATTGCATTTTAGTAGCGCGGCACAGGGGTCTGTGCACTTGCATTAAAACATCCGAAATAGAAATAAATGACTAAACCCTGATCACTATTGATTACAAAAGGTGCAAACTGTCACGCTTCAGTGAATCATAAGTCATAACATAACGTTATCGGTTTAAACCACAAATGAACCATGCTAGATAACTGCAACTAAATTATTTTAAGTTACTACTAATGTAAACAATTCGCATGAATTATGAAGTTTTTGCGAATTACCTGCTACACATCGTATTTTAAAAATTATTAGCTGCTAGAAATTAAGCAAACCATAATCGGGAGCATAAACGATGACTCAAAAATTTGCAACTCTGACGAATAGCACGACCACTAATTTCGCCAATTGTAATTTTCTAGATGAATTAATTTGTGAAAAAAATTACTGCCAAACCAAGAATTAATTGAATAAAATCAAACAACGAAATTATTGTGCATTGTAATGTTTTTGTTCAATGTTGTCACTTCACTATTTTTGATAAAAAAACGACAAAAGCATTCTGTATAAATATGAGATGTTTATTGCAAGTTGAGCTTCCTGTAGACCGCCCCTGGGCGGAAACGGTGCAGTATCGAATAAACATCTGTCCATTTTCCCTTTGAAACTAGCTTCAAATATACTGTCATTCTAAAAGAAAAGTAGAAATTAAGGAATAAAGTCGTTTTGCATCAAAATTGTATTAAAAATCCTAGATTCTAAAGTATTATAAACAATATCTTTATCAAAATTGTTTACACTAATCTTAATTAATACATATTAATACAACGTGCAAAGTCCAAAAATTTGTAAAAGGAAAAATACTAAAATTCATTTATGATAAAATGTGTATTCGCGAAAATTAGTATGTGTCGAGTTCTGCTCTAAATATTTATATTTTTGCATGCTTATCCACCTATAAATACATATTTTCTATCCATTTAGTTATATTTACTAAACCACATCTTATTTCATCTTATCTAAAGTAACGACAGTTTCTCTGAAATGTTTAAACTCGTTTAACATAGATAAATGATACTTCCTTGTACTCGTACGTAATTAATTCAGAAAACAAAATGTTTCGACTGAAATTCTGAAAAATAACAATGAAATCAAATTTTCAGGTATGTATTTCCGATCTACTCGAACTTGTACGAATTCGTTACGTTGGAATCATCTAAAATTCAAAAGAAAGCAAATTTCCCTCGTTGAAAACCAAATCCAATTTTCCCTGATATAACAAGGAAAATCAAATTACATCACAACGACTTTCAATTATAAATACCGTACAATCAATCGAAAATTGTCAAGGTGTCACTCTACGTTGCCGTTGGTCGATTTTGAATTACTATAAAAAAATCTAATGTGCAATAATAATGCAACAGGAAGCAATCACTTCTGATAAAACAGTTTGATTAAGTGGAAATTAATTAAAAAATAAAACAATTGCCGCATTTGACTTAAACTTTCTCTCATGTCACAAAACTGATAAAATGTGAATCACCCACCCTCGATTTTTCGAGCAAAGTAACGGTAAATATGACTTTCCAATATTCTAATCCGTTACCTTGAATGCAGTTTTTACGTAAAAATATGCTGATGTGTGGGCCAAACAACACTTAACACAGTTCTAGTTAAAACAAGAGCTAACGGTATCGTAAATGTAACACGTGGTCTACTTATTGTTCTTTGTCAATGTTAGAATAATTTATCAAAAGACGTCTCGTCTTGACAGACAGGATACGTAATCAATCGTCATTAGTTACAAGAAATTTCAGTGAAAAAGTGAACGACCGAAACATTGTGACCCACAATTCGACTATAACCTACGTCACTGTTCCTTCGTGTATATCATTAACGGTACAAGTCAAGTACTCTAGATGCACTTTTTCCACGTTACCTGTCGTTAAAATCACCGCATTTTCAAGCGATTCTTCGCGATGATGGATCGAGTCAAGGAAAAATGGAATGCGTGATGGAATGCTCGAAGCTCCGGTTCACTGCATACCCATCATCCACCACCGGTCATGCCAGTTTTTACTTTTCTTCATTAACTCCATCCGCAATTACAAAACTTGAAGGCATCACGAGCCCTTACTACTTACCATGCGATCTCTCTCGTCTTCGATCGAATTGATTAAATGCCCAAATTCCTTCAGCGATTTGCATATGACTTGCTCGTCGTCAGTTTGAGCACCTCCGATACATTCAAAAGTGAATGCTTGAAGACAATCCGCGAAGGACCTCTGAGCGCTGCTCAACTCTATAACAAAAAAAAAGGGTGAAATTATGAGATCTAAGATAGCACCACTCCCTGCGAAAATTGCAGGGACTGCAACAGCGGGGGTCAACAACCCCCGAACCGGATCGATATTACAGAGGGGGTGAGTGCAGCCTGCAAAGCTTGCCAGGATAAATCTGTGTCCTGTGACAAAAGTGATACTGATTATCACACTAGCGATTTGCTTCGTTACACTGAAACGATTCCAGTGTCCTGTATAACCAGATTTTAAATCAAGTTAACTCTTGCATGGTTCCTATTGATTTTGCGACAAATTGGTAAAAAGCGGGTGATTTCGAGAGAAAGTCGGAAGATAATGCTCACCGCATCCTTAAAACAACGGGGAAATTTTACAGCTTTTTGCACACATTATTTACCCATTTACGTTAAAAGCACAGAGTTATTTTTAAAACGTCGAAACGCGGCTGTCAAATGCAGAAAGTGCTAGTGGAAAATGGAAAATGTTTGAAACAAGGGACAGAAAATTCATCAAAAATATCTAGATCGCCGCCGTCGTAGCATATGTAGTTTCATGTAACATAATTAAAATTTATGTTCTTTATAAAAAGTTTATAATTTTATTAAAACGTTCCAAAAACGTTCTCTATTACTCGTATTCCACACCAAAAAATTAAAAACACTTCTTTATTATGAATAAAACAAACCTACATACAAAAATATGAATAGGTAAGTATATTACGTACTTGACAATTTTGTTTATGTTTGTGTCTTTAGTGGAAAAATTTAGGGAAAAAAAACAAATTAAACTAATTACAATTAGAATTTTTCATTTTTTCTATACCTACCCTGAGGTATGGAATAATCTCATTAAAACTAAAAATATTTTGTTTTAACAAAATGGCAAAAACGCTCAAACAGGTCAATTTTCTTTTTAAAAAATACACAATTTTCACCTGGTTTTAAACTTTTTGGTAGTAACGTCATCGATATTTTTCTTAATTTTTTTTTAGGTATTTAATAGATGTTTTCATTGTCGGTATGAGAACATGAAATACAGGGTTCGCCAGAACTCGCGCCTCAAAGAAAATTGTAAGGTAAGATACCAGGAACATGGAAAAAATGTTAAAAAATTCTATCTATAAATATTTAGAAGTTATGAGAGTTTAAATTTTGCACTTTGACTATTTATTTCTGTCGGAAAAATAATTTTCCAAATTTTATTTGCTTCAGGCTATTAGAAGAAGAAACAAGGAAGCTGTATTCTAAATTGGAACTCTGTTTAATATTATTTGTGGCTTTTATTGGCAAAATTTTTGTACTTTTACTAAATAATTATAAAAAAAAAAAACATATACAAGATCGTCAGTATCATTAACTAGACATAAAAAATGTCAAATGTCAAAAAATAAATGTCAAAATTTTTTCATGTTCCTGGTATCTTATCTTACTTGAAATTTTTCTCTGAGGCGCGAGTTCTGGCGCAGCCTGTATTACAAAAAATTATTCAAAAAGTGAAAAACGTAAGCTTTAATCAACAAAAAACAAACATACAATTTATTATAAATCAAGTTGTATTTTATAAAAAGAACATTAACCTTTTCCAGCATTTTTGCTGAAACAATAAATATTTTCAGTTTTAATAAATAAGATTATTCCATTATTTTGCCGCTCATTGTATAAAAAAGTTAATCAATCAATAAAAGCCTTTTAAAAATGTTTATGTATACAAACAAAATATGTATTATTAACAACAAATAAAAAGCTTATGAAATCACAATCAATAAACACTGCAAAAAAAATATTTATACACAGTAATAAAAGAACCGTATCGTAACTCGGATGGTTTTTAAAACCATCAAATCTCCCTAAAATTGCAAACGTTTCTCAGGTAGTTATAGCGTTTAAATATGCAACATTAATATTACTTTTTTATAATTAATGAAGATAATTTAGTGTTTTATTAGTAAACGACTTAAAACATGCATAAAAATGTTAGCAAATAAATAAAATCTTTTCTTCTTCGACATACTGTCAAAATTTACGGTTTTTCCACCCTGTAAGGAAGTTTTGTAATTATTTGGCATTTCGCAATACGAAACGTCAGATTATTTTTAACAGATTTAAAGTAAGTTTAAGCCTTGATGAGCCTAATTCGAAGAATATAATGTTGTATTCAACTCTCTTCGTGTAAATCGGCTCATTTATTCCACCTCGTGGATGATAAACCACTCGTGGTTTAATAACAATGTGGTTTAACATCAAAAACTTGTTACTTTCTATGGTAGCAAAGATTTCAAATTATTGACTGTAAGCACAAAATGGTTCAATATTTACTACAGCGTTGCCCATTTGTGATATCTTTAAACATTCCGATCCTTTTGAATCACCGTGTAAATAACCAACTTTTATGATTAAAAACAACATTACTACAAAATACTCAAAAACTTTATCATTCACATCAAAATAAAAATAAAAAAGAAGCTTCTTTATTTTCAGTAAGAGAAATCAACGATAAAAAAAATCTACATAAACAATTTTTGTGTTAGTGTCATTTCATTAGTGGTGAAATTTATAAATTAAAAAAACTTCGGTGCTTCTAATTAAGAAATGGATAAATTGTCATTAATTGGCGACGGCTGCATCAGAACAATTATGCTTCATAAGTGACAGGTTTTGCAATTTTTATGTAATTGGCGGTTAATTTTTACCATTTTGAAACTAAACCATTTGCAAAAATTATAAACATTTACCTAACTTTCTCTCAATTTTTGTAATTGGGAAAAATAATGAACCAGTGTTATGTATGTTTGCACTCGAGTTTCAAAAATCGTGCATCATCCAAAAACGAATAGCAAGTCGATACCGGTTCTTATCCTGCAACACGCCTTCGAACCGGAACACACTCCCAGGAAGTACTTATCTTGGATATAAATTGCAAACAGGTTAAGATTTTTCTTTTCGATTTTTCCAAACGCATCAATATTACACACACGTTTGTATCGGTATACTCCAGGTGCGTATCACCTGCATCTGAAATTCCACAAGAGAACAAGAACACAGGTGAACGTGTTCTCTCCAAGCAGGTGACTCATACCATTACCTTGAAACGAGTCTTATTTTATGCAATTGCGTTTCGAGACTACATCCCCCATAAAGAGACAAAAAAAATTGGAACGAAATAGACTGAGAAATAATTGAATTTGTTAAGGGAAACTCCAGGGACGTGTTGGCGGGAATTTGATATAAAAATTGGGATGAAAGGGGAAACGAAATGTCAATTCGCAATATTGCACGAGAGCGATAATGTCTGGACCATCATCCAGATGATAAATTTTATTTTACACTCTTGTTTGCTAATTGATTGCATTATTGACTGGGTATTGATCAATGTGGAAATAAGGTCGAATCCATTAACTGTATCTATGGCGATACGACTGCACAAACAGTTCGAATTCAGAACTTAATTCGAAAAAATGACATTACTGTCGCTTTGCACTTATCACACGACCTTGTAATGACCGTGATTGAGTTGACATTGCAACGTAATACAGCCATAAACACGTTAATTACATTTTTAGTTTAGTTTATACGGATTAAACCACAAACCAGTACCACCATTAATCAACATTGACAGGAAAGAAACTGTTAATTATAAGAGTAGGCAATCACGATAATTAACAAAAAGTTTTTTTTCGTTTGAAATTACACAAATCCTGAACACAATAGTACTTTCTTTACAACACCTGTCTCTTTCTCAAGCTGTTAATTATTTGTTTAATTAAAGCCGATTTTCACGACAGATAATATTCGGTAACCATTGGCGCCGACTAAGGACCGATTTTATCCATAATCTTTCAGATAGTTTAATTGCCAATTAAAAAACAATTATGGATAAGAATATACCATATTATTACAGTATTTCCATTGGACTCAAAGCCATAATTATTACTTCTTCGTGTCGAAATCAAAATAAAATCGGTATTTTATCCAACTGTTTAATTATTGAGTATTTCAGCATTTTTATTGTGAACTTTTAGACTTTGAAACCTGATTCAACAAACATAAAATTGCAAGTCCGTCCCCTTTGACCAAAGGAAACTTCAATTTCCACGTTTGCAGAGGTAAAGTCAAATATCCTATTACAAAAACTACGCCTACTTTACAGTGAAATTAACTCTGTAATAACTCAATTAACACACTGAGATGAATGTATTTAAGTCAATTTAACCCGTCTATCCGTAAAAGTTTTGTTTTAGAAAAACGACTTTTAGTGCGTGGTAAAGTGACATCATTTTCTTAATAAGGAAATGTGTCTTAAAAAATTCTCCACAATTCCGTTTTGAGACACTTTCAGGACGAGGTTGCAATGAAATGCGAAAATAATTTATTATAATCGATTATGAATTTCTTGCGACGAAGACAGTTGATTTAGTTTTATTGAAAGTTGTGGAACTAGATATGAAATAGAGGCCATGATAAGAAAATTAAATAATTACTCTACATTTACATTTGTCGGTAATGAAAAAAGTAATAAGTGGAGCAAACGTACATAAATGCATACCAAACGCGCGTAAAAAATATTTCTTTCGAAACTGATTACTAATTTGAATTTATTTACCCACAATGTTGATTTGTGTCACATTTCACATTAGTTGTTCATATTTAATATCATTTTATTGTAAAACTAGATAAAAATATTGAACAACAATAAAACTGATCATTAGATTGGATTACGTCTTAGCTAATTAAAAACTATTTTTGTCGCTATTTATAAATAGCTATTCCATTATTAAATGAAAACAAAATCCTTAGTGGTAAGATAATATTTCCGGTTCGAATAAAACGATATGTTTATCTTTTAATTAGGGTGTTAGCAGGATTATTTTTGTCTAATACATTGTTTTTTTTTTCAATACAATTTACAAATAAAAAACGGAGATGAATTTTCTGAAATTTTGCCTCGTGTAGCAAATTCCCAATTTTGTGCTAAACCCACGCAAACACCCACCTTATCATCCAAC